TAGCAACCATGAACTCCTACATTTGTCGTTGTCAACGCCCATTACAAAGCAGTATTTTCTGCCGAAAATTCGCCTTTTTTCCGCCCACAAACTTACTTAACAATCTCCTTTACCTCTCGTAGAATTAAAGAACCTCCCCCGTCGTCACCTCCGGCTCAGTCGCGTCGCACCCACATCATGCCCTGACGTCTCTGAGTTCTGCGACACCCCCACCTCAGAAGCCGCCCGCATGTCGGACCCGATGATGCGCCATACTGTCGAGCGCACACACCAACACTCCACATACCAAACATCCATAAACCCAAAACATGCACTCCCACGAAAGCCACCACCACACACAACAACCTCCTAACAGACGCATACCTCCTAACGATACCCTCCTGCCCTACTCGAACTCGACAGCCCCGACGCACAACAAATCACAACACACCGCGCGCCGATCGACAGTCCACACATTTACCGCGTAATGCGTTCCAACTGCGTCCACCCGTAAGCCCCAAACACTCGCTTATTGTTACTCGCCCTCGCTCCCCAACCTCAGAAAGACCTTCTTCTCGCATCCCTTATACGCAGTGTACCAGATTGCGATTAGAGATTCCGCCCCACGTTCCGTTTCAGTTTCCGCCGAAAAGCCTTGACTAAAGAAAAACTACAACTCGGTTTTAAATTCCCCGGCCTATCAATCCGCTAAACGTAAAAAAATTATTTTATCCATATTTAAATATTGTATCTAATCTATTCTATTAAAACAAACCTAGAAATTAATGATACGAAAAGCCAAAATCGCTGATGAATGCATGAAAAAGATCAAGACAATTTGCTGTATCTCTTTCATCCAGCCGTCTCTATCTCGGCGTCATTCGACGCCCCGAAATCATTTTAAAATAAATAATAAAAACCCACTTATTGTAGGACTGAGATTCGATCTTTCATATTAGTACTTTTAAAATGTTTCTCTCGCAACCCACGCTTATGTTTGCCCCATGCCACCTTCAGTATGTGTAACAGTTGAAATTCCGCTTACCCACGAACGACAGAAATAAAACACATACTATACCTACACAAAATAACTTTTCCACCGTCTATATTAATTCTGCCGTTTATTCCACGGTTACGCGAACTGATTTTCTTTTCTCCGCCCTACGAGTTAACATTCGCCTGAAAACCCGGAATCCCCGACATTATGCAAACACTCGTTTATCGAATGCCGAGCGCGTGCGTGCGGCTCGACGACTGCTCCACGTTCCGGCGTTCCCCCCGCTTCCGTTTTCGGCGATTGCCGGGCGACGTATTTCACCAGGTTTCTTCCACCCAATCGCGGCTCGCATGCGAGGCGTGTTTGGAGCTTTCCCGCCAAAGAAAAAATTCGTTGGCGACCAATCAAAACGTCAGCTCTCAAGTCCAAAACATGTTTAGACTGAATTGCGGTGGGAGACCGCCCAGGCTCCGTAATTCCCGGTTGAAGTCCCAGCGACAGCGGGTCGCGCGCGGAGCCCCCCGCCAGCAATATCGAGCTGCATGCCACCCTCCGCTTGGGAAAGTTTTTTCTGAAAACCTCTTTATGAACTATTACTTATAAATGCACGTAGTTTGATAATCAGCCATTTTCAATCAACATTTTGTATTTTTCAATTATTTAAATAAAACTCAATTTAACTCTATTTTTTACAATCAATCATATTCTCTATTAATTTTCTAAAAATTATTCGAAGTTACTTTTTCTCATTATACGTCACCGATCTTCGCGCGCTCTATCTCTCCAGCGGATGTTGGCTGCTATCCGGACTTCCGTGGAGTCGTCACAAATATATTTCTTTGTATTGTCCGCTCCGATTCCCTAATATTCCTATCGCACCGACCGACGCCCAGCAATGCGAGGACTTGATCCTCCCTACTCCGCGTACGCTGTTAACAATTGTACATGATTCACCGACTAAAAATCTCCATGCATAATTCCTTCCATTTTCTTTAACTCATCGACACGATATACCACGTATATCCCTCCCTGCTCCACGCCCGTCTACTCGCACTCATCATTATTTTTTATATGCCGGCGTCCTCATGGATACATTATTACAAAAAGATGCATCTATCTATGTCTCTTTTAAAACTACTAATAAATAGTCCCCTTATATTCCGATTATTTTGGTCTATTACCAACTGCCCCTCTTAGACATCATTCTATTACTTAAGATATGTATACGCCCGAAAGATCATTCTTTCCCTTTATTAAATATACTTTCATGTTCATACTGTTTTTGTCACTGTACCCCACACATATTGAACGGCACATTCACTCCATCTCCTTCCTAATTCCTTTTATTAATTAATTTGTCGATGTGCCAATCTTCATCAACCATTCTCATTACTATTTTACTTTTTATATTATTCTTATTTTTGGAACTTTTGTTTCTCTGCTATATTTTCTATTCCATTTATTTTATTTTACCTCTTATATGTCTCATCCATTTCCTTTTATTTGTACCTATACATCTACTCCTATTCATCATCTCCATTATTCAACTCGTGCTTCCTTAAATTTAACTTTCCGTAGGCTTATTTGCCACTTGCCTATTTATACACACATGACACCATTTAAATAATCTATTCGTAAAATTAATCCGTCAATCAAACACAAGAAATTAAATGCATAACATAATTACACTTGCCAACAAACTTACGACTTATCAATCGAGATTTCACCGTATTCTATTCCTAAGTTTTCATAATGAACTTATGTCCTCCCTTAAAAATTGTAGGTTTTCTTCCTCTCTCTTTGCTGCCTCTTCCACTCTGCTCTTATCTATTTCCTTCTCGATTCTTGATCTCTTCTTGTCACGTTTCTCTTATCTGATTTTCCCAGTAAAGTTTCGGGGGTTTCGCATATATATAATTTCTTCCTTCATATTTGCTTCTTCGTCTTTGGTGGCTAGTTATCTGATTTCCATAATTATTTCTCCATCATTCACATCTTAACTTCGCTTAGCATGTATTTCAACATCCACCCGCAACCTTCTTACACTCATTTGCTCGTAAAACTTTATAGTCTTCTCTTATAGCTCCACAGTACTTCGCAACCCTTGCACAATACTTGATACCTTCAAATTCAACCACCCTATCAAACTACATTGCCTCGCCGCTTAAACCCGACTTCCCCAACATAAACCTTTTTCCTTCTTCTCCTACCCGCTCATAAACCATCTACACGTCAGAAAAACTTCGTCTCATCTACCATTTCTATGACTAATACACCATTGCTCTAATCTATTTCTCCTGTATTCTCTCATCTTATTTGCCTCTTCGTCTTGTTGCTGTATCTGATTTCCATAATATTTTCTCTTCATCTACATCTTCAACTCATTTTAGCATGTTCACATCACACCGACCTTCATTACACTCTTATTGCGTGCTGTAAGTTTATAGTCTTCTTTTATAGTCTCCACAGATCCTTCGCACCTTTGCACTAATTATTTGATACCTTCCAAATTAACGAAACACTCAAGACCTTCCTCGCACGACTCTCCAGCAGGAGCTGTGTGTGCGTTGTGTGTGCGTGGAGGCTAATGTTGTTGAAACTTCGTTCATCACCATTTCTATGATAAATATCACCATTGTCATAATTATTTCGTCTGTATTTTTGTGGTCTCATTCTTCTTTCTATTCACCTTCAGTTTTGTAGTACGATATCTCGTTACGTTTATTTTCGGATCTTCTCAAGTCTTCATCCTTCGTATGTCCGTTCCAGATTATCTTCTGATTCTTTTCTTTTTTTCTTGTCTGGCAGGTGTTAAATCTTCCTTAATTTTAGTCTTCGAGCTTTCCCCTCGCTTCACGTAAGTACTCTTTCGTCGAATTCTTCTTTTCCCTGCGTTATCTGCGTACCTGCAATTATCTTGTTCCTATACTACGTCAACTAGCATTACTTCGTCGTTTATTGATGTTTCTGTTTCGCGGTCTCTCTTCCCTTCGGTTCGTACTTATCGTTTTCCTCTCTTTTTTCTTCTTCAGTCTATGACATTTCGATTTCCCAGATTTATTACTGCTTTTATAGAGAATTTCTTCAATTATTTTATTCCTGCGAGAGTTTGTCCTTTCTATTATCCTTTCCATGCATATTTTTGTGCCATCATTGACTATTATCATGCTACTATTATAATCTACTTGAACATTAGTAACTTTCGAATTTTCTAGATCCATTATTTTCTTTCTTATTTCCATAGCTTCCATCCCGGTTCTATAATTAACAAATTCTTTAATTAATTTTATATATTCCCGGATTTTACCGCGCATTATTATTTTATTATTACCGATTGTCGCTATATTATATATTATTACCGATTACATTTCCTATTCTCGCAACCCATTGTGCAAACTTATTATTGAGTTTACCAAAATCTTCGTTTGAGTTTTGGTAGAGTTGCCAAGGTCTTGGGATGAATTGTGAATCTAAATCGGGATCCATATACTCTCTGTCGGGATCACTGCATAATGGGATAAAATGAAAAACCCAGTAACCGTTTTCGAACTATTCGGTTCTCTTCAGCAAGGCGAAGAAGTCTTGCAGTAAGTAAATTAGAAGTATGTAAATTACTCCGTATACATACGTACGTATACAAAAAAGTAAAAATAACAGTTTCTCAAAAACTGATCTTATTTTTAGATTCTTGCAGTTACCTCGTAAGATTAGTAAGTTATGTCAGTGATATAGTAGAGGAAGAAATTAGGTATAATATTTTTCCACTTTTTCATTACCAGGCTTTGTAATATGGGGTTTTGGTGTCGAAAAATCGCCAATGTTTTCCCCCGTAGCATTAAAATAATTTCTCTATATTCCATTAGCAGTACGCGAAGTATAAGTGTATTTCATATTTTAAAACCAATCAAAAAAATCCCTACTAGAGTCGAGTTCCCTGCACCGTTTTGCAGTTGAACTCTATCGATTCTTTTTCGATCGGGGGTTCTCCAATCCTCGATTAGAGTCATCTCGATACAAAACATGTCGACCAGCGAAAAATGGAGCAGAATGGGCTGGTATGAGGTTGGCACACAGTAGTTGTCAGTTGTGTTGTTTTCGTAATTTTATACATTTATAGTTCATGGTCAGCAATAATCATGAATAGCGAAGTGGAGTTTCACGTACGACAAAACTATCCATGGGCTAAATTGCCTGCCAATGTTAAGCAGGTACGGTAACATTCTCCACTTGTAGATAAATTATTTTTGACCTGACTACTACCAATTTCTATTGAGTTTTTTTAATTATTATTTAATTTCAAAACTCTGAAGTGAAATGCTATTTCTGTTTTGAAGTTCTAATTAAAGTTAGCGCTTGACATATAAAAATTCATGAATGTTCATTTGTTGATGAGTTCTATTTGTTTTGCAGAGCCTAGGCAATTCTCAGAAGGAATATGAAAAATATATAATAAACTTTAGTATAAAAAATCAACTTCGTTATCGAGGAAATCTAGTGAGATTTGTTCGAAAAGATGAGCGGCATTACTATGAAGAATTGTTAGGTTACAGTCGTGAAAGCTTAATGTTATACCCATATCATCTTTCGGATGTTGTTGTGAAGGGACTGCGTGTAACACCATTCCAATATTATGTATCTGTTATGGAAAATATAATGGAACAAGAGAAGAGTTATGATTCTCTCCCTAACTTTACAGCTGCAGATTGTAAGTTTACTGATTTTCGAAATGTGAAAATAAATAATTAAACATATGTAATGTTATAAAATACTAATTGTAATTATATTTCAGGCCTTCGTTTGTTAGGAATCGGGCGCAACGAATATATTGAGTTAATGAATCAGTGTCGTTCTGGACGTAAATTATTTAGAAGAAAGAATGTGAGAGATTTATTGCCACCCAAACCTGTTGATATAAATATTGAACCTTGGTGGACAGTTGAAGTTGGTTGTGTTATTGAAGAAGATATTAAGGTGTGTATGGCTTAAATTGCTTGTAGAATTAACTCTTTTTATTTCAGTAATTTCAAAGTGTGTGATAAATTTAATTTGTTCAATATCTAATTAATTTATGTCTAAAAGTTCATAAATACAAAGTTTGGAAGACATTCTTTTTTTTAAATTCAACTGGATAGTTTTTCCCAATGAAAATGGATAAATTGTCTATGAAGGGGGGTAGGGGTGTGTTAGTTGAGTGTTACGTTACACTGATATGTTTTTATTTTTAACACAATGTTATAAATTGTGTTAACACAATTATTTAACACAATGTTTTTATTTTTCAATATTTTCTTAAGTAATTCCTTTTATATAATCTTGCACTAAAACATTAAAATATTAAAATTGAAAAGATAAATTCAAAGTTATTATTTATAAATGTTGACAATAATTGAAAACATATTTTTTTCAATGGTATATTGATTGAAACTTAGATTATGAAGAATGTGTTCCAAATTTAATATATTCTAGAATACAATAATATTGATATAGAAAATTCTTGCCCATGCGTCCTCCATGACAACATGTGTAATAGTCTGAAATTTTCTTGCCAATGCATCCTTCCTTTCTTCCTTCAGGTAAAAGTTGTCCCCCAAGTCAGCATCACCAATTAATGATCGTTAATATTAATATATAGCACATTAAAGTTAATACAAATTGTTTTAATTGTATAATTTTTTTTGGTTTTGCAAATGGTATGGGGGGTGGAGGGTTGCAAGCAATTATTTGAGGAGGTTCAAGCGTGCTCTACAGGGAAGAGAGAGGGAATTCAAAATGTTCCATAGCTTTACATAATTTACTACAAGTGTTTCTGAAATTTGTTTGTTTTTCAAAGGTAGTGTCTGAGCTGTTTTTATTAAGAGTATAAACTAACTTCAATATATTATTTGTAATCAGCAGTATTACAATATTAATATGTGCTGTTTGAAGGAAATGTATTTAATTTAACACTTAAGTTTGTTGTTAATATAAAGAAGTATGACTGATTTGAAATTAGAGCAATGAGATCTGCATTAGCAAATTATTTGAATTCAAGATTTATTCCTGTCGTGTTGTACAGTGGTAATAATTGTGTGTGTTTCTGATAAGAATCATTCAAGAAAGTATATGCTCTTTGAGAGACAGGGTTGGCCACTTTGTTACGAAAATGTTCAATGGGGAGGGAGGAGAGTAATTGAAAAAAGTATGTTCTTTGAAGAAAATTTGTGTCATTTGAAGACAGTATAGACACAAGAACGTCTCAAAAAATGTTTTACCAAGAAAAAATGCACTGTTAGTGAATGATTTTCTATTTGTATTACTCTTTGAATTTGATCAACAGTAAAACGAAGGGGGTGGGACATTTGAGGGAAGAGAATTTGGTGGGACATTTGAGGGACATTTTTAAGATCTATACTGTATACTTTTGTATCCAAATACCCAAATAAGTTTTTATGTAGGTCAAAATTTGAATGAAATTCAACAACAGCAGGAACATTTTGACATTTATTTTCAATATTCTTTGATCAAGTCTTCAATATTATTGATTGACTGTGCTGTCAAAATAGAATGGTGAACAGTCAATACTTATATTCTTAAATGTCTTTTTTCACAGCTTGTTTCAGAAGCAGAGAAAGAATTAATTGATAGGATCATTGACCATGGTTGTCAGAAAGCTGGCGACTTGGATTATAATCTTGTTCATAATTTGTATAAGTAAGATATCCTCTGTAGTTATTGTGCATAATATTTATATAAATAGGAAATTTTGAAAATATTTTTTTTCTCTTTTTTCTTTCTTTTTTCCAGGAAAGGTTTAATTTACTTGGATGTTCCAATTGAAGATGATGATTATATTGTTGTACCTCCACTTGAAGGATTTGTTATGAACAGGGTACTAGGCGATTATTTTGAAACTTTATTGTACAAAATATTTGTTTCTATTGATGAACATACTTCTGTGGGAGAGGTGTGTATATATTTGTGTAGGGCAGCATTTTTTTCACCTGCTGCTGACACTTTCAGAAACTGAACAAACATTTTTGGTTTTAGTTGGCCAGTGTTCTTCAGATTGATGCCCAGGCCGTAAAAAATGCTGTCTCTCTTTATTGTCGCCTTGGTTTTGCTCGAAAGAAGAGTTATGAAGCAGATTTTACAGATTTGAATCCAACATGGAAGAGCAGATCACAAATTTGTCACAAGTATGTAAATTCAGTATATAGTTGTGTGGCGTCTTCAAAGAAAATATTGATTTACTTCCGTGAACTTGATGATCTCATTTGTTGTTAATGTTGGCTGAAATATATATTTGTGAAATGTATACTTCATGTATGCGTAATGTTTACTTGGTATCAGCTATTTTATCACAAGCAACATTTAAAAGACCAGTAATCTAAATAGGAAGTATGTAATTTAGTATTTATTAAGTTTAGTGTTTTACAGTTATTATGTATAGCATTAAGATACATATTTTATCATTTCTTTTTCAATGTATTGTGCTACATGTCAGGAGTTCTGTAGGGATATGGCATTGAATATTGGAAGTTCTTGAAGATAAATATTGTGAAGTATGTTTTTAATTTCTAATTAAATACAATTCAGAATGGTTTTAATTAATGCAAATAGATTTAGATATTTTCCATGATGGAGTACACATGAACAAAAACAAATTAAAAATAAAAAAGATGTTTGAAGAGAAGTTACAACAGCAAACTGTTGTGTCTATATAGTACTCATTTGTGTTTATTTCCTTAATGATTGTCACAAGGTAGATAAGTGATATGAGTTAAAAAATCTGATTATTAATTACAAATTCATACACAGGACTCAGCATGAAGGGATTTTGACCAATCCTTCTGCAGACTATAAGGAACTAGATTTTATTTTATATGCATTTAAAGTCTCTTCTTAATGAGCAATAAGATGTTGCTACTGCACCCTGTTATCATCTATGAGCGACAAAATAATCTTATCTACCATCCTGAGATGTCTCCCGCTGCCGGCAACAGTGCAGCAATTGTCATGATCCTTTATTTTTTTAACTTGTATTTAACTTAAAATTGTAATCAAATGAAATGAAATATTACATACAAGGAGAAAGATACTTCAACAACTTGAGAAAGAAATACATGTAACTCACTCCTACCATCGCTCATTAGGTAATGCCTTCCTGTCATAGGTAAAGTGTATATTGTCTTGCATAGTAAATTACTATTAATATTCAGCATAGCAACACAGAAATATGGATAAGCAAAACACAATTTTCTGTATAAAATAATGTTAATATAGAGAGAAACAGTTTATGGACATGAAAGAATTCAAAATTTACCTTGAAATATGAAACAAACAACAAAAATATCAGTGTGCATATTATATTCTGTAAAATTAATCAAATGGAATATTGTAACTATATTATTTTGGATACATTGGAGATTATTTTCCAACAACTTCAATAAAATTTCAGTAACTCAAAGAACAACAGTCTGAGTTAGATGCTCATCTGTAAAAAACCATTCTTACAAAAACATCTTGTCCACCTGAGAGTTAAACGAAATTACAGCATTATGAATTTTATTGAATAATTTTGAAATTATGTTAGAGAAAGGATTACATTGGTTTTTAGCTCAGGTATTGTTACTTGACCAGTAGAGTGAGAGTTGGCATAATCTCTTAATAATGAAACTTCTAGTAATTGCATGTACGACAGTTTGATATTTTTTGCTAAATTTCTGGTAAACTCTAGATCTTAACTTCACTAAATCCTTTTCAGTCGTGATTCTGTTAGTTTAGTATTTGAAAATTCAATGTTCTTTTCTCTCTCTCTCTCTATTTTTTTTTCTTCTTCTTTCTTTCTTTCTAATATGTGAGTAAAATTAAATGCCTGGCAATGGGAAGAGAGGAAAAAAAGTACACATCAGAAATCATCCTTTTGCTAATGAGTTTTGTGGGTTTCCATATTTAGAATAGGTATATTGTAGGTCAAAAATGAAAATTGTGTAGTGTTGTGGATACAGTCTATGTATTGTCCATAGGACTCTCACTGAAGAACCTGTGTTGTTAGATTTGACTTCTGCATTGGCTGAACCTGGTCTCACACCTCCAGAGGAAACTACCTCTAGTAGTACAGAAGAAGCTGAACCAACTTTTCTTGCCAATCAGTCTCGCAGTCGAAGAATTGCATTTCTCTTTGATTCGACTTTGACTGCTTTTTTAATGATGGGCAATCTCACTCCAGTAAGTATTATTCACCACTTTTTAGTGAAGTGTACCACTTGAATTGTCTTTTAAGGAAAGTCTATTTCAACTGAAATTTTCCTTGTCATGGAGGGTTTGAAGAATCATGCTGTCACCATGTTTGAAGTGGGAAAATTATCTGATGAAAGTTTAGACAGCTTTCTGGCTGAATTGGAAAAAATTTCTACTGCAGATAGCGAAGGAGAAGCTCAACGTTACTTTGATCATGCACTCATTTTGCGATCCACAATATTGTTCCTGAGACACAATCGTCGAATGGGTGAATCTCTGTGTCTTCCTCTTGATTTGATTCGATGCGAAAGTTTGCAGTCGCTTGATAGTGCTACTTGTACACGCTTACTTTCTAAAAATTATTCGTAAGTACTTTTTGACTATTAAATTGTGCAAATTACTACTAAAAGTTGAATTTAAAAAAGATTTTTTTTCCTGCATTGTATGTGAAAATAATATTTATATGTTCTGCAAAGACTATTGATGTACATTTTATGGCGAAAAAAGAAAAGAAAAAATCTATTAACTCTATTTAAATTGGGTTTATCTGATTCATCATGTTTTTTTGATATGTCTGCAAACTTAATAAAATCTTTTGTGGGACAGGTTGCTTGTTTCAATGGCTCCTTTGTGTAAAGAAATAAGGCCCATTAGCAGTTGTGTGCCTCCTCATTTGGGTCCTGCCATACCTGAAGTGAATACAGTTTGGTTTAAACTTTTCATCTATCATCTAACTGGTTATGGTCCTCCAACCTTACTCTTAGTGAAAGGTGGGAAACTTTATAATAATATCTACTTTGGAACATATTTTATAAATACAGGCTCAGGAAGAAGAAAGAAACCTCAGACAAAGTGGAACTAATAGCGTGCTCAGTTGTTCCTGGAGAGAAAAAAAAAAAAATCTCACTCCCTTGTAAAGGCAGCATATGGCTCATGACAAACCACATTTCATTGTCTTGATGCTCCTAGGATGTTGAAAGTTGCAATTGAGAAGCATCTTTGGAAATATGATAAAATCTGATGGGTGTGTGTGTGTATGTGTGTGAGAGAGAGAGTGCTTGCAAGAACAAATTTCAAAGGATAACAAATTTTGTCATGACTTGTAATTTGAAGTGAAAGTATGCTTCTCCCTAGTAATTAATCTAGCCATTATCTATAATCTCTACTGAATTTGGTCTAAGTTATATTAGAAACATAATCACTTAATTTAGGACAACTACTAGCCATTCATACAATCTGACCAAAGTTTTTTTTTTTTTTTTTTTTTTTTTTTTTTTTTTTTTTTTTTTTTTTTTTTTTTTTTTTTTTTTGTGTGAGAAAAGTTTAAAATGCAAAACTAATATGAATATGAAACTTGTGGAGATATGAAAGCCACATTGATCATCAAGTTAATAAATTCTTGTATTTTTGTCAATATTACAACCTGAAGAAAAAAATGACAGATGTGATTTCTCTGAAGTTTTACTCCTTTGTTTCACTGAAAATTAGTCCAAGATATTGCACAGAGCTCAGAAGTGTAGGATATATCATCCAGTTATTTGAATATGTGCACTAGAGTGGTGTTCAATTAAGGAAAATAAAAAATTCAAAAGTGTTTGAAATTTTACATTGCATACAACATATTTGAAAATAAAATTGTATCATTGGTGATGGTAACAGTGTGTGTCCTATAAAGCTTAAATGTTCTAATGGCATAAAATAATATATTAATAGTAGCGTATAATATTATGTATAATATCTAACATGAATTTTTGGGCCAGAATGTTACTCTTTGATAAAGTATTTCATATGTGTGATGAATTGGTCATGCATATTAAGTTTTAAAGTGCAAGTCTGTCATATTTCAGGCACTAGAGTCAGACAACTTCCACAGTTGTTCCAGCGTTATGACAAGCTTTTGGTCACCACGTGGGGTCATGATCCTGGAGTTCTTCCTGTCGCTAATATTATCTTCACGTTGAATGATGCATTGTGTCATTCAGCTGTTCTTGTGCAGGTACATACTTCCTAATTCCTTTAAACTAACATATATAGAATTGTGAATTGTTTATTACGTGAGATTTTTCAAACTTGTCGAAAGGAATTTTGTAGAGCTGCTTTCTCAATAAGCAATGAGGGTTTAGATCCTAGAAGGGAAACAAGATTTTAACCTGAACGTTTTGCTGCAGAAGAGTTCAGGAAAAGTGAATATCAGAAGTGAAATGGTTGGTATCCAATTGAAACTTGCATCAGGTCACCTGTGTCTAGGACTTGTTGATCAGTGAACCATTTTTTTATTTGGTTGGTCAAATATCACTTTTGGTATGGAATTTGCGATTAATACCAATTATCTTTGTTATATTGTAATAATTGCACAGGTCATACACTAATTAATGTCCTAGTGTGTGGATACACAAGCCAACTTTTATAATGATAAATATGCAGGAAATGCAATGTTTTCCCTAAGTCTTAGAAAGTAAGAGTTTTGTACCTCAAAATTACCACTATGATTTTTTTATTACATAAGTTTAAAGTTGACTTGGAATTTATACAAAAATGAAGCACCATTACAGGTTCTTAAGCTAAATGTGCAATATAGTTTATAGGTTCCGAAGAATCCTCATCACATGAAGAATGTTAATTCTTTTGTTAATACAAAATGAATACATTTTTTTTACAACTTTTGTGGAACTTCTTCTTTAAAAAAGATATCTTATTACTAACCTTTATGTAATAAAACAGAGTGATGGCCTGCTAAAATTTGCTGGAATTGCCTATTACATTGTCTTTTCTCTCAAAATGTTCTTAAGTAATTTTCATTTAGATAATTGACACCGTTATTTAAAGATTACGTGATTTTACTTGATGTTCAGGGATATAGGAATCATCGTGGAGCAGAAAGTGTTTTGGTACCTTTTCCATTGAAGGATGTTCAGTCTCCTGGTAAGAATGTTTTCAAATATTTAATTATATTTACATTCATATAACCTTCTTTCTATGTGGATCTGTACTTTACAGCCTCCAGTCACTTCATTTCCAAGAATATGGATTGGAATTCACACCCAGCAATCAGAAAACTTTCAGGAGAAATAGACCTGACTCACAACTGTGGCTTCATTACAATGTTAAACATGAAAAGTGAACAAGAATTTCAGAGTGGAATTTCTTTCACATCTCACCTACCGGATGAATTCAAAGATGTAGGAATATTACCCTCAGGTTTACCTTCTGCTGCTCATCAGTCTAGTCGTGTTGAAGCATGGGTAAGTGCCAGTTCTGGAGAACCGGTTACTGACACTTCTCAGTCAAGTCCAGTGAATGGTTTCACGAGTCATGATTGTGCCAACATTTTGGAAGAGGAGCTGAACAATTTAGGTGAGAAGAATCCTGCTGATTCATTATCACAAGATAATAACAAAGAAGGTGTTTTACGTCTTGGAGGTGGACGACCAATGCCTGATGATGTACGAGATGAACTGGAATCTTGGACACTTTTAGATTGTAGTTTTGGTGTACCACTTTTTGATGCAGCAGCCAATGCTCAGATCTGTGATGCCATTATTAATGAGGAATTGTGGAAACCAGATAACCTGGAAAAACTTACTAGGTCCAGTAGAAGTCTTTGTTTAAAATTGCTGGACTTCATTGGAAAATTTCAGGTAATAAGTTGATTTGAAGCAAAATAAATATTGCATATTTGTTTGTAATAAAATATGTGTTGTTTTGCAGGATTTGCCTGTTCTTCCAGATGAAAGTGGCTACTCGAATAAGAGAACTTTATCTCCTGCGGTTGCTTTTCCTACTAGAAATCTAATGTTCAACCATGGGAAATTGAGTACATGGAATAATAAGTAATGAATTCTGGAAATTATTATTTCTTTTTAAGAGTCACTTGGGTGCTTTAGACTTAATTCTGTAAAAGCGATCTCATTTGGTGTGTATTTGCAGACATCATGTGTTTCTTTCCTGTGTAATGCATTTCTGTTCTTTTTACTCAATTTGTGACCTAGATTTTATTAACAATATTACAGGCAGATGCTTTGTTTACCATAACTATGGCCATTATTTATAGTATTATCATTACCATCATCATCATCGTCATTAATATTTTTGTCTTTGCCAAACCCATCTCTATCATAATTAATTTGTTTTTTGGTGCTTGAATTTTCTTCTCTTTTCTTTTCATTTTCAAATTGAGAATGAACACAATAAAATTGAAACTAAGCAATTTCATATTGAAAAGAATCAAAGAAGTCTAAAATACATAAATTAGACTGAAATTAATAACTTGTGTACACTCAGAACCATCTTTATTGACATTAAATCATAATTTATATTACCATATCAGGGTTTTTTTTGAGGCTGTATATAGGAGCAACATATCTTGTCCAAATAACATTTATAACTTGATGTAATGTGATTTTCTAAGCAATAATGACAAAACTCTGTGTGTGTCTGTAAGTGGGTGTCTATGTATATAGTCAGGATTCATCATTGGGTTGTAAGGACTTACCGTCAGTAAGCAGCGATTATGAAATTCTTCCTCTATGAATATTTCGACAATTCAATAGTAACATAGTGCTAGATCAACTACTGGTACGTGCTTAGAGCAGTAGTCAGACAGGGGCACACAAATTCACAAATTATCTAGCTTCTTCCCATTTAAATGCAACTCAACTAATTTAATGATCAATCAGTCTAATGGCACTTACACTTATTGGCTCTATAGCTCCGTGTTGTCATGTAGATGCAGAGAGTACTTTCTTTGGAAAGCCATTTCTTTCTTAAAATAAACTTCTTACAATTTGTTTATGTTTAAAATAATGTTATCCATGTGATAACTCAAGAGCTGAAAAATGTCCCATTTCTGTGCTTTGTTTCCCATACAGTTTTCTCACAGGTTCCACAAATATATGCTAGTGTGGTTATTAATTGTTTCTGTAAATGTTCCATTGAAACAGTTTGATTTTTCTTTCAAAGTTACCTTTTAGCTTTTTGCAATTCTTGGATTTTTTTCAGTGTATTAAACTATAAAAGCCTGATGTTCCTCCAAAATTTTAAACCTCTCATTACACGTTTTGGAATATTATCTTGATTTTTTGCTTGAAGCTATGCACCTGAATTCTTGAACTACTACTACTACTACTACTACTACTACTACTACTACTACTACTACTACTACTACTACTACTACTAGCAAAGGCAACACATTTGCATTTTTATATTCTAATTTTACAATGAAACAAAACACATTATTAAACCAATACATCATTGTTTTCTCTCAGTTTGTTATTGCTTATTCTCAATTTGAAAGTCATTACACTCATTAAGAATGTGTATTGTCTTAATATGGTGTTGTTTGGTATCAAGTTTATTGTGTTTTTTCTCAAAGTTCAAAAGGTGTAGTTGTCATCTTATTTTCATTTCATTTATACCATAAAATTGATTGTTTTACCTCCCACCTGTCTCGATTTGAGGAGGGAAGAAAATTGTAAGAAAAACACGATTTTCCCTAAATTATAATTTATAATGCAATATTTACATTTTTTCAAACTTCATATCATATTATTATTGTTATTATTTTTATTGTTGTTGTTATTATTATTATTATTATTATTATTATTATTATTATTATTATTATTTCAGTTTCATGACTATTGTTTACTTCAAGAAAATAACTTAAAATATGCTAACGTGAAATTGAGTAAATCAGCTGTGTACATGAAATCTGAAGGACCTACAGTAGGACTTGTAGATTTCTTTCTAATTTATCTCCCTCCAAAACCATCATAAACAAGCATTTAGTTCTTTGTTATTACCACAAAAGCAAACACATTTTCACCTATGAGTAAATTTGGACTGCTTTTGCCATTAAATTTACATATGAAATTTAATATTATTGAACTGGTTGAAATATATTCACCTTATAACAGAGTTCTGTTTTGAAAGTTGTGTTTAGAAATTCAATTGCTGTGATGAGTTTCTCACACTTACATAATTCTTTTTCTCCAGAATTTAATAACCTCTTCTTTCAATTTTTGAATTCAATTTAATGCATGTGCATTAAAATTTGGAGGTCCACTTGAATAAATAAAACTTGGAAAATAAATTAATTTGAAAATGTGTGATCTTAGATGTGCCATATTTTATTACTTCCTAAATACAAATGTTCTCCTTGTTTTCATATTAACTTTCTGAGCTCTTTATTTTACATGTGACTAAGACAATATGTATTGAAAGTATTTGTTTCATTTATGTTGCACAGATGGGTACCATTTGCAGACTTAAAGATTAATTATATTTTAGTACCATGAGAAAAATTACTGGAAAATGGCGAAATAGCGAAAATGCTTTCATTACGCAATGATTATTTATTGTTCATATTGTGCTTGTGTAGGTGATTTTAAAGAAATTATTTTTGTATTTGTTAAGATAATCTGTTTCGCAATTAATTCTTACAAGCTGGAAGTAGTTCCTTGGTAATTATTTTTAATTATAATGTTGCATTTGAAGCTTTATATGCACTAATCAGTTTTGATTTCCTGAAAGTATTTCAATTCTTTTGCACATTTGTCATGGTGTGAGCAGAATCTTTCATAGAGTAAAATGGTTAGTGTTACTCATTGAGTTAATCCAGCATTATGTGATTTTAAGTGAATTTACTAGCATTTCTAATCCCATATTAAAATCATTTTCATTGCAAAATGGTTATCATTAACAGAATGGTTAGGCTTGTAAAATAAAGAAGAATGAGATTAAGTTTGGAATTATGACAATGTCATATGGAAATGCAGTGAACTGAAATTTACTGAGTTAAACAGTGATTTGAGGAGTTTGTATTAATTTTGTGAGTAATTCTAGGGTACTAAAGTGGTTCAGGAATAATCGCACAGTAACCTGTTGTATATCAGTCATTCATTGCCCGTGAATGATTCTGTTCTTGTTCTCATGATATATGCGAAACAGGGAGTTGTCTTCTATGTAGATACAGTTTCGTTGTTTACCCATTTTTTTTTCCAGAGTTTATTATTATTTTTTTTTTACATAATTATATTTTTAGCAAATAAATGATGACATAGGTAATTAATTTTCTTTTAGAACATTACTATTTTAGTTTTTTATTTTATCATTTTCAAAATATGGACTGTTCCAATATTGAAACTCAGGCACGAAAGGGGCTAGGGTTTTTCAGCAAGTCAGGCCTCATTTATAATATTTTTTTCTTTATTTAAACTTAAAAAGGCTACAATTTGATTCTTTTCTATAGTAAAATAAAAGCTAAATAATTAGAATTGAGTATGGAAACAAATGTTGACTCAATAAACTTCTCCTCTTGTTGTACAAAGGAGAACTAAAATCGACTCTTGGCACTTACTGGGAAATTCAATCCCTCTGTTGAAGTAATAGGAATTAAACGATGCCTCCGCATGCATTCCGCGATAAGGAATCAAAGACAAATCCACTGTCGCTTGTTCCAATAATGGAACACTGGGCAAATATGGGTTAAAGGTTTAGATTTAAGTGAATTGTGAATTCTGAAGTTCACAATATTGAGGAAAAATTGCCATTTACAGATTTTTGTTCATTGAGTGATGGTTTGACTGATCAATTAAGTAGTAATATGTATAAAATTGTTAGTGAGTAATAAATATACAATTATTGCAAAAATTTGGTGATTCTGAGAATTTGTTTGGATATTTTATTAAATCTATATAAAGAGCTATACAAAAATTTCATTATTTTTTGATAAAAATACCAGTATTAGACAGATTTTAAATTTGCTTGTCTGAGAAGCATAAAATTTACTGGGTTTTTATTCCATTCAAAACTCTCATGTGAAAAGTAAAAATTTTGAAAATAAAATTTACAGGTAATGTACATCATCTTATGACAAAAAAAGCTTGCATAATTAAGATGTAATAACAAGTCATCCTTTTAAGAAAAGAAAACCAAAATATTATATTCATTTGAATGTATGTTCATTCTTTAAATTTACTTTTTTGGTAAAGATAGTTATTGAAGGAACTGCTTCCTGACATAAGAGCATGATGATTTGACATATTTTTATAACCGGGTCCCTGTTCCTGAAATGCTATTGTGTTTCATTTGATGGAACTGATAATTACATTTGTAAAAATAGTATATTTATTTGAGATGGAACTTTGATAGTTATGTTGGGGAAGGAGGTGGAACATTCCCGATTTAAGATATTTTTGAAATGTACAATGTATGAAAGAGGTTGCACAGTTCAGAAAACATGATTTGCATTTTATGATTTTAACTTGCTAATGATTATTAAGTCAGATAAGGCTTTGACGAAAGCACTGATTTTAATATTGACTGGATAGTTCAATAAATGTAGCAAAGATATAGTAGGCATACTATCATGTTTTCTGGATTGTTTCAAGTAATTCTGAAGAACATGATGTTCAGACAGAAGTACTTCTAACCTTTTAAGATATAAAATCACTGTTTGAAGGTAGTTAATGTAAATTTATGTAAGTAATGTAAATCGATGTTAATAGTGTACAGTAATGGCAGCATAAAATGTTAGTCAACTTATCAATGTCAGGATTACTGATTCCAAAAGACAGTACATTTCTGTTTGTCATAGGAAAATAAAATTTGACAATTGCCCTGTATAAAACCAGACAAATAGTGTGTTACATATTAGTTTGTTAGAGGAATTTTGTGGGTTTTTTTGCTTGGCAAAAACATAAGAGAAACAAAAAGCATTATCTCATGCATTCATCTTTATATTTATATTGATGAATATTTTTCTAAAGACTAAATAAATTACGAAAATTACATAATCAGCACCACTAAATTGGGCCTTATGATGTAAGTATACATGTTATCAGTACATCAGAAAAATAAAAAAGTTTGATTAATCTAGAATGTCTCTCTTCAAACAAATGATATCAAAATTATATATGAGCTTTAAGATGACATTTTTGCACATTAGTTTGCGTGTTTCTTACTTTGTTCTTACATCTAGATATTTTAGCACTTCTGATGCTTGACTAGTTTAAAAACTTAATTATATTTTCTCAATTCATAAATTTAATATTAATTAATATTTAACCTTCTTATTTAATAGAGATTGTGGGGTTAAAGAATTTCTTTGTGCTCAAAAATAGTTCATATATCTCCAAAGAATTCATCCCGTCCAAAATCACTTCTTTTTCACAGAATATACATTATATTAAACTTATAGGTAAATAATTTCTGTATGTAAGTGCTGATTGTAATTTTAGTAGTTTTCAGAAATGTTGAAATGGAATCATGTCTTGACATTATCTTGTTTCTTTGTGGATAAAACAATTACTATTTTTATACGTTTGTTGGGGAGAAAAGATATGTACATACTTGTAATTTTATTGTAGCATTCCATAGTACATTTATGTGTACAAAATTGTGTAAAATTATTTGTACCTTCATGGTCATTTAGAATTGAATGAAAACAATAACAATTATATATTGCTTCATAGTATTATAAACTTGTGTTTATTCATCATAATTTCCAAGTAATCGTAGTAGATATCGTCGGTAAGCACCTGATGAAACATCGGCCACCATTCCTACTAACTTGTGCCCATAATGTTGAAGATAACAATCTTTAATATCTGCTAGATCTATCTGTAAAAGAAAACACAGTATTTTTTTCTTTAAAGTGAACAAAATACAAATAAACAGTTCTATTATAAATATTCTTGAACCTCTGATCTTGCTATGAGAAGGACTATTAACTTCTCATCGTTTGGTGGTAAAACTTCCATAGCCTTGTGGAGTTGTTCAGAAAAATAAAATACAGGATCTCTTATCATGCTTGCTGGAAAAAAAAACAACAACTTATTAACCTTGGTTAAAAAGTATGCTTTCATATACAGTTTTGTACTGACCTAAAGAAACAAGTCCCCTTTGAAGTCGACCAGTAAATTCTGCTTTTATGCTGGCTTCCATGCTCCGTTCACTCAACATGTCATATTGCTCAAGAACTTCTTGTAGATGTGGATATGAACGAGTTTTAAACATTTGTAAGAGAGCCGGCTCTTCTGTTCCATATCTGAGGCCTACTCCAGATGATACCAACAACTGATTTTCAAGAGAAAAATTATTGTGTTTTAGAAGGATAATATTAATATAACAACATGATTGCATATCTGTCCTTAATTTTTATAAAATAATTAGTTCTTCTCTTTTAACGAAGAGACACAGATTATTGAACTATCAACTTTTTTGCAGTGAAAACTGAATCGTTGCACTTATGTTTAAGACACTAATTATCGTGCATCCATACTTTTCCTGAGTACTTTTTTTGGTGGTATTTCAAATTTACCTCAAAAACTTTGTGTAAAGAGAGTGTTGACAAGTAACTCCTTTGCTCTGCTTTTGAATGTTTTCATTGTTTTACATAAATTTTCATAATTTCTGTTCTTGGGAATCCATGCCACATTACATTTAGTAAGTTTCTTTTAGACTGTTTCAGGTTCCGCACACTGTTACTACTACAAGATTTTTTTCAGAAAATGCTTTTCCAATGTTTTGTCTTGCCAATTCAACATATTTGGAATATTTTATAAATTTGATGCATTGAAAATCTTTACCCACCATCGATTCTTATAGTAATATCTATGATTTTAATTTTTCTACCCATCTTATCTATGAGCAGTACCAATGGCTTGGTCTTCAATGAGTTTTCTGTTTGTTTGCAATAAAGGCTTTTATAAATAGAAAAATATTTCTATTATAATATGGTGTTTTATTTATATTATGGTGTTTTTGAATATATTTCATTCCATGATTACCTTTGCAATGTTATGAAAAGTCTTGAGTCATGATTTTAGGAAGTCTGATTAGTTTCCGATAAGACGTTGTTATTGCTGTTGTTATTATTATTATTATTATTATTATTATTATTATTATTATTATTATTATATGTGTACTGCACTGGTTTGCTGTCCTGTTGCACATTCATTTTGCCTCTTTCAAAAGGAATACATTAATCACATACTTGTAATACTAGAAAGGTTTAGTTGTTTAAAATTGTGTTTACTGAAGAGTTTTTACAAATTCATTAAATAATAATTTATATTTAAGAACAATATAAAAAGAGGCTCTTTTCCAACTTTCAAACTTGAATTTTTTTTTATGATACTCTGTAAATAAATATTGTTGCAGATTTCACTTTCAAATGATATTGTTGCGAGATCTGTTAATATTTCTTGTAACGTGGTTGATTGTAGGAAGATTTTAAAGTAATAATTTTTACATTGAAAATTATCTGCCTTTGGTACTGTTACTGGCAAATTTAATGAAATTTGTATCATCACAGTAGTGTTAGGGAATGGCTCGGTTAGTTTATTTTGATGTACGAACTCTAATACTTCAGTTGGTGATGATTTTGATTTGAGCTTTTTTTAGTTCACCTGCAAATTCTAATGCTTTTAAATCTTTTGGACTATCTGTGTTAGTTCCATCAGTCAGTTTAAATTATAGAATCATACATTTTTTTAAATATGTCTTATGTACTAATTTCTGCAAGTTCGTTGAAGTCTCGTACAAAATTAAACACATCACTTTGCCCTTTAAGCAATTGAGAATTTTCCTCTATAAATGAAACTGTAGTGTCAATAATAGTTGACTGTATGGAAATGCAGTTCATACACGAATATTGTCTTTTGAATCATTTGTACTGTACTTGTCATGTTCATAACTGAACCTAGTTTTATTTTGCTTTTATGTATTTATTTATTGCCAGCATGTAGGTGGGAGGAAATCTGAATCTACATTGCATGAATAAGTGAGCTCAGTTGCAGTGCCTAGCATTTCGTGAAAATTATTGCAATGTCTGAATGTTTGTTTTAAAAAGACAGGACAGTTTTTAGAACCTCTGAGGCTCCTGGTTGGTTCAAAAAATGAGCCCCCCCCATACACAGGCACGTACACACACACACTCACTCACACTCTTACCAAAGTTGTGAAAATCTAATGGTCACACTGTAAAATGGCCTCAAAGAACAGTTGTATCTCAAAAACCATTTCACCTATAAAGCTACAACTCCAAATAAATTAATTTGAGATATTAGATAGATTCATTTTAGGTATGTGCATAGTTTCCAGAATTTTTTTTCGCAGTGGAGGACATTTTACATTTTTGTTCTCAATGATGTATAGACAATGTACTCAACAATTCCAAACCATTAATAGTCTTTAAAAATCATAGTAGCTTTGCGTCATTAAAAAGGGAAGCTTCTGATTGGATAACTTTGCCCCTGCACTCACCTTCATTATCCACCAAGCATAAATAAGTTTTGTATCACAATAAACCTAATGATATATTATGCAAACAATATACCTGAGTAGAAATGAAGAGATTCTAGACATGAAGTCCCTTTAATGGATTAAATTACTTTAAAATTATGCCAACATTATTTTCAATTCATCAGGATAAAAAGGAGACATTCCATGTAAATTTAAATAAGGAGCAAGGACAGGTGATCACTGCTAAAATAGAGGACAAGTCCTCTAAAAGGACGGATGGCAACCCTGGGTATGTGGGACTCTGCATAGCTGAGATGTTATTGCGGGGTACTTTTCTAAAATTTGCTTCAAATGATTTTTATACCCCCAGAACAACTTTTTACTATACATATTCAAACACTGGGCCCTAACTCAGAAACGGTACGAGATTTCAAAAAGTGTGTAAGGATATTTCAGTGTCAAAAGTAAATTTTACACCATCTTTAAAGGCGTCTCAAGCTAAGCCCGGCCAGACTTTGTGCCACTGCATTTATATATATTCTGTCATAATTAAGAATCAAAGGTGAAAACGCTTCCGAATGCTTTTGCGTACTCGTGCGCCATTACGACTGCCACTGCTCTAAGCAATAAGCATCGAAACATACCTTTGGTAAAAGTAGTGGTGCTAAAAAACCTTATTTTCTTGCAATTTTCGAACATTAAAAATGCCGGCGTCGCTAGCCAAATTCCTACGCTCTGTGAAGTCACGAGGGTTACGCGAATTCGAGACGGCGCGGGTTCCTGGTTGGGTGACGTCTTGGAACCCAAGGCTCCAAGCCCCGGGCCGAAGGGATAAAAGACACCGACTTACTGCGACGTGACAAGTGTTGTGAAAAATAATAAATAACTCTATGCCAGGCGCTCAACGCCCAATAAGGGTTCAGAGACGCGTTGCGTCCACGAAGACGCAACCATTTTTTAAAAACAAATTGGAAAATACCGAAAGTTTAACGAAAATTAGACTTGCATCAATTTTTAAGCGTTCTTTACTCTATTTAAGACTGGACTTTACTCTATTTAAAATTCGGGTCGTTCTTGAGAATTTTTTTCTTCTTCATAAATTGCAGTAACTTCAATGAGAAATTACATGACAGCTAATCGTATTTTTTAACATTTGTATATTATCTTACTTAAAGAGCTAGTTTTCAGAGCGGTTTTAATTTAAGATAAAAATCTCTACCATCAACATTGTACTTTTGCGATTTTGGAAAATAGTGTGTTTGATTTTGCAATGTGCACCGGTTGTAATAATAGGACCACCAGTTACCTCCCTTTGCTATATGAAGAAAAATGGAGTCTTCTTAAGGAAATAATTGCTTAAAAATGGCTTATATTTCAAGCAAAATTACGTGAAAGTTACTCACATTTTCCGAAAATTGTACTTGACCATATTTCAAGATGTCTTTCAACAAGATTTTATTAAGAAAAATATCTTCAATATTGTAGTTGTAGAAAGTAGCCGAAAAAATGTCAAACTTTGGCAACTCTCAAAAAATCAGAAATCTCAACGAAAATTAGATCTGCGCCGTTTTCTAAGAGTTTGCTATCTACGGTAAATGTTCCATGAAACATTGAGGCCATTTTTGAGAGAATTTCGAAAATGTTGAGTCTTCATGTATAAAGTCGGCGTGCACAAATGATTGAGTACTGCACAAAATCGATAATATTAATTTTCCTCTATATCAGGACTCAAGATGTTATGAGTCAGCTGAATATAAAATCTACTCCAGGTTGCAACCAACAACCTAGATCTAGACGCTGCCGGTGCCTCTACAATACTTTGCACAAAATGTGGGCTATTGCAAATAAAGTGATTTCTTTCACTTCCCAATCTTTTGAAAGTCCTGGGAGTTTGGCCAAGTTCTTACACAATTTTTACGGAACAAATCCAAGTGCTCCGATCGGTACGACCTGTGCTTTCACGTCCCAAATTCGGCTTTATTTCCTAACACGTATTTTAGACCTCAAATCATCATCATCATCATCATCATCATCATTATTATTACTTTACCACAGATAATCTTAAATTGATATGATAGTCACATGAAATTTACAACAAAAAATCACGAATATCGTGATATTTTGGACAACGAGAAAGTTAGTTCATAATAATTCTTTATTTCACAATCACGTTTTGCGTTTCACACGTCATCAGATGTGTACGTAGAATAAATTATTGGACATGTTTTCATCAGATAGTAAAAATGACCAACATTTGAAGATATTATATGCAAATTTTAAAATACGTAACAAAAACAGAGAATGGCAATCATTCAAATTCGAGTTTAAGTAAAACATGTAAGTAATAAGTACAAAATATAAAATTAGGTGGGAAAGAACTTACCAAAACTTGTTGAATAAGCATATATTTTATTGAAAGACAATGTTTCTAAAGAAATGATAATTCCATATTCTATAACACGGAAAATAAGGGGGGAAAACTCCCATTATAAGAGCAATTATCATCTCTTTATGGCGAGAGAGGCAAAAATGAGTTGAAAGGGAGGTAAAAAATTGACATTATTTTGAATAGATAACGATGAGAGCCAGTTAAAAATGAGAGTTTGAAAGGAAGAACAGATCTAAACAAAAGTAAACCAATAAATATTGTGAACAACAAAACTAGAAACAGTAATAAAGTATAAATGTTATTCAATTTTAATTTAGAAAGAACATTGTCATACGTGTTAGAAAATGTTATTTCTTCTTCTTCCCCTGATGTCTTTCAGCATATAGTTAAAAAGTTATTTCTCAATTAACATTTTCTGGTCGATCAAACTGATGTCACAATCCATTGAATTTGAAACACTTTTATTTTTTAGGGAATACTTTACTATGAACTATACTTTACATGCACCACCAACATTTTTAGATTTTTTGAAAAAAATGGCTAAGGATTTTCACCTAAAAATGGCTTGGGTCGCATTTTTGGCCAAACTCCCTGAATTTTCGAAAATTGCAACAGTTCACCATTTTTTCTGCGTCTTGCGTCAACTATAACAATATAATTTTTTCTTAATAAAACGTGTTCATGAAAAAACAACCTTAATTAAAATCGTGTTTAATTTTTCGGATATATTCTTGCGTGAAAAGGCAATTTTTAAATAATTAATTTCTCAAAAACCGCTTCACATTTTTTCTTAATATAATTTCCTCGGAAGTAGCTAAGTAGTAAGTACAGAATGTTTCATTTTCGTAAAGCGGTATTTTCCAAAATTGCTTCAAAATGTAACATTACAAAAGTTCATTAGAGATTATGTTAACTAAATGTTGTAAAAACTGTGCAATAAAAAAGGTCATGTGCAATTTTTTAAAGTGATTAAGCGTAATTTTTGTAAATCTTAGACATTTGTACATTCGAATTATTGAATATACTTTTAATTTTTAAACCATTACTTTTTTTGAAGTAATATTTCACGATTTGTAAAAGGGTTTACAAGTGATTACTGAGATGTGTTAATATTGACAGAAATGAAGGTGTTATATTATTACGTAGTAACCATTAATCTCTGCGAGAAAGCCTGTGGTGTTGTAAGCTCCACTCTCCGTCTGTGGTCTACGCTAGCGCTTAATCCGTGCATACTTTTTTTTCTTTCGAAAATTGATATCTTTGATTCAATTGAACGAGGAACTCGAGGCCCTGCGAATTTGAAACTGATACTCTTATTTTGATTTTTAGTGGTACTTTACATTAAGCCTCGACGTGTTCAAAATTTCGTCAAGGCTAACTTTTTTTATCAAACTTTGTCCTTAGATGGCGCAAAGAACTCTTAAAGATTGTATGGGTCTAATTTTCGACAAAATTCGTGATTTTCGATTTAGCCTTTCGATTTCCGACGCAGCATTACAATGATCTACTTTTTACAACGCGCGTAGTAAGATCTTATTCACAATGCGAACTTAAACATAAACATAACGTAGCCGCGAAGCCTAGAAATGAGTTAAGCGAAACCATTCACAATGCCTTGACGTAACCGTAGACGTAAATCCGTAAACTTAAAGACTTTTTAAGCTCCAAGCTTTTACGTTAAGTTTACATCGGAATTCTACCAAAGACCAAACAGAGAATAGCATGATAGAAACAGACATGGTGGATTTCAGATTGTGTTCAGGTAGTTTGTGGTATGTCATTTCATTACTGTTATGTACTAAACTAGTTTGCGAACACTTCTGATGCGAATAGTAAAATTCAAAGTAAGAATTTGGGCTATTTTGCTTTTGACTTTAACTTGGTGTGGCAAAAAATAAACAATTACATTTGACGAATTATTCGTGCATTTGGTATAAGGGAATCCTTGTTTATTAAATAAAGGAAATGCGAGCAGAAATACAATTACTCACGTTTATAAATAAAGACAAATGGATAGGAAAGTTGAAGAAAAGCCAGAAACAATGGCGAAAAGATCTTTCCACCATGCTAGAAACGAATCGATCAAGCTTCAATACCTTGAATTGTGATTGGTTCGGGCGAAACTTACGTCCAGCTTACGTTCGTCATTGTGAATAATTGATATACGTGTACATTTTACTGCCATATTTACAGCACTACGTTACGTTTTTAGGTTTGCATTGAGAATGAGGTCTTAGACAGGTGCGGATCCAGAGAAACATTTTGGGAGGGGAAACTCGAAATGTTTTAATCGAATGTGTCATTACATATTTTGAAAAATGTCGCAGGCTTCACTCAGCAAATTCTGTGATACGATTTTATTTGTTTTAATGATTATCCGAAAAATATTTTTGCATGCAAGTTTCGTGACAGGTTAAAATAAATAGTTACTGAAACATTATGGGGGGGCGGGGGGATTTCCCTCATTTCCCTCCCTGTGGAACCGCGCCTGCCTTAGGCGAGGGAGTAAAGAGCGCAGTTTCCGCGAGGCTTACCTGCGCGTCCCTGCGCGCGCGCACCAGGTCGACGTCGACGGCGGGCGGGGCGCGCTGGCCGGCCACCAGCGCCTCGGCCAGCGGCCGCACGTCGCCTGGCAGCTCGCGCCGCACCTCCTCCTCCAGCGGCCGCCCGAAAGCTGCAAGCGGCACAGCGCAACGCTTGCGTCACCGGTTGCCCCTCGGGGTCTCAGGCATGACCGACTCTCTCACTCTCACTCTCACTCCCTCTCCCTATCTCTCTGTCTGTCTCTCCGTCTCGTCTCTCCGTATCTCTATCTCTGTATCTCTCTCTCTCTCTCTCTCTCTCTCTCTCTCTCTGTCTATCACTATTTCTCTCTTCTTTTCACTTCTCTTTCTCTATCTCTCTCTTTCTTTCTCCCTCTCTTTCTCCCCTCTCTGCCTCCCTCCCTCTCTCCTTCTCTCTCTTTCTCTCACTTCCTTTCTCTTTCTCTCTCTCTCTCTCTCTCTCTCTCTCTCTCTCTCTCTCTCTCTCTCTCTCTACTTCAGATGGCCGTGGCTCAGGGCATCGTCTCGTGTCACTGCGGTGCCTCTGACCGGCGGTCCTAGGGCTCCGGTCCCGACGGTGTCAGGATTTTCGACACTAGCTAGATGCCTAAGTCGAGATCAGCCGCAGTTTAGAGGAGAATTCTAGCGGCCGGCTGCTCTGATTGGTATTTTTTCTTGGCTTGTCAGAGCAACACCCCGTGAAAGCCGGTGTAGATTCCTAACAAAACGGTCCAAGGATCGCTCGATCTTTCTTTCCACTTACTTGACCTATCCTCGCAATTGACATATTCTTATACTTACATGCTACTACGCATTACCACACATGTCGGGAGACAGATTGGAACTTAAAGCGTGTCCGGGCTGGGTGGGTGGCCCGCTGTTGACCACGTGTTTGTGGATAATCTCGCGAGTCGACGTGTGCTTTGGAGCCGCGCCTTGCCATGAAGACTACCGCCACCTCCGGTCTTAAATAATGCACGACACTTACGGGACTGGCCTTAGCAGTTTACGTGCCCGGAAGCACTCATTAATCTGTGTGATCTTTCCCGCCCGTAAGGCTCGCTGATTGAAGGGACGGACAAAGAGATTGTAAAAGCAGTTTCTACACCCCTCCTGTGCAGCAGTTCTTTCTCGTAAGCAATAAACAGAACCGGACTAAATACGAGTGGTACTACATAATGGACAGACTTTCTAGTTTGTTCCCCATTTTTGCAGTTGCACAGAGAAGGGGGAAGAATACATGGAACGGGGGAGGGGGGTGCATTAGCGGACTCAAAGGCCCTTCTCTATACAAATTTTTTTGTACACCGCACCGGGCCGTGAGGTGCCCGGGGGGGGGGGGAGAGGTGAAGGATGACAAAATTACGAGAAATTCATTGCACATACTATTTATTAATATTAGATTTCTGTTCTTCGTGGATGGGATGATATGACAAATGAAATGTTAATTGTACAGAAATGAGATTAAATCAATGATACAAAATGGTTGTTGGTTACTTCTATGTTCCTTATCACCGTGAAAGTGACGTCGTGAACGTTGGTCGCACTACACGTCCATGGGCACACGGCGTTGCCGAATACCTGATGCTTGGAGGTTGCCGCATGCGTGGACCTCAGAGCTGCTCCTCTCCCGGGCGAAGCGGCAATGCAGGCGTCCCACACAGTTCGCTGCTTAAGGAGTGTCTGTCCCGCAGCTTCACGATGCACCTGGCCCTAGGTGAGCCCTGAGCGCGAGAGTGTGCGTGCGGCACATACGGTCTCTCGCCAGCAGGTGACTAACGGTGTGAGTCGGGTCTGTCCGTACCGCACTAAAGTACCCGCCGATGGCAGGTCCACAAGTACTTTATACACGTGCCGAGGGCAGCGGTTTTACGTGCGCGAAGCGCAAAAGATGAAAGTTGCTTGTAAGCATAGAGACTGCTCAGCGAAGAGGCCCTGGGCAGGCGGTGTGGCCTGTGCCTCTCGCGGTGGTTCTCGCAAGTCTAAACTGGCACGAGTGAACGTGCTATTACAAGGGTAGAAGGGTGCAGCCCCCTTCGGGAAAAGCCGGGGTTGTTGGCCGCCTCCGGAGGGAGGGAGCGACCACCCGCCTTTGCTCGAGGGCTTTGCGTAGTGGACGGAACAGCAGTAGAGGACTATCTTTTCGTTTTTGCCCCGCTCTTCCCGTCTGCAAGCTATCTTCGCCTACGGGACTGTCCTGGTCCTCCCTCTGAAGACAATTTTCAGGGAAGAGCACCCTTGCACTCCTCACTCAGGGAGCTTTTAGGACCATCTCCGACTCTTCGCATTACACTAAGGTGACAAAAGGCATGGGTTACCTCTTAATATCGTGTCGAACCTAATATCGTGCTCGGCGAAGTGCAGCAACTCGATGTGGCATGGACTCAGGTCGTTGGAAGCCCGCTACAGAAATATTGAACCATGCTGCCACTACTGCTTCTCCGCCGTCGATAAATACGAAAGTGTTGCAGATGCAGGTGTTTGTGCACGAACGGACATCTCGATTGTCTTATAGATGTTATTTGAGATTTTATGACGGGCGATCTGGGTGACCATATCAATAGCTTGAATGACCCAAAATGATCTTCTAACCAATCGCGATCAATTATGAAATGACGACATAGTGCATTGTCGTTCATAAACAATCCATCGTTGTTTGGGAACATAAAGTCCTTAATGGCTGGAAATTTTGTTTTCAAGTACCTGAACAAAACCATTTCCAGTCAGTGATCGGTGCAGTTAGACTAGAGGATATGCTATTCCATATAAAAGCAGCCCACACCATGTGGAGCCACCCCCAGCTTGGAGAGTGCCGTCTTGATAACTGAGTCCATGACATCGTGAGGTCTGCGCCACACTCGAATCCTATTATCAGATCTTACCAACTGAAATCGGGACTCATCTGACCAAGCCACAGGTTTCCAATATAGGGTCCAAACGCGAGCCCAGCAGAGGCGTTGCAGACGATGTCGTGTTGTTAGCAAAGACTCTCGAATCGGTCTTCCATAGTCCATTAAAGCCAAAGCCACTCGTATCGGATACTGTCGTCGTACGTCTCACATTGATTTCTGCGGTTACTTCACGCAGTGGTGCTGGACATTAACAGTGAGAACTTCACGCACACGCCGATGCTCTCGGCAATTAAGTGAAGGCCGTCGGCCGCTGCGTTGTCCGTGGTTAGAGGTTCTGCCGGGAATCTGATATTCTCGGCACACTATTAACTCGGTAGATCTCGGAATATTAAATTCCCAAACGATTTTCGAAATGGAATCCCCCATGCGTCTAGCTTCAATTACCATTTCGCGTTCAAAGTCAGAGTCCCACAGACCGACGCGAAACATCCGTAGCGGGCGCGGCGACGAAAATTCTGCGCTTCCCGCGGCGGCGAAATTCGCGGGTCCGTTCACTCCGCAGCGACAGTTGTTGTTCATTATTTCCACGTGAAATAAAGATCGCAAGACGTTCTTTTGATTTCCGAGCATCTAAAGCAGGCAACAGTTTTCTATCACAGTCAACAGCCAACGTCTTTTACCTCCGTTTTGAAAATCAACTTTTATGGCTTCCGCGCGCTCTTTCCGTTTATTCAGACGAATTCTTTGAGTTGAGTACTGTGACTCAGCGTTTGAAGAATGTTTTCCTCACCCGATAGAGATGGAGCTCTTTCTACTTCACTTATAGGAGATAGAAAATGCCAAGTTACTCGTAGTACCGTTTTTGGGCACATGCGGTACGGTGATTTTTTCTTCTTTATCTATGATTTTTTATTTAATTGTTTATGTCTCTTTAGAAAACGAAGAAAATCGGTCCCTGTTATCATAGAAAGGAAAAATACTGAGAATTTCATACCTTGAAGCCAGAATATTGAAATGACAAGAAACGCGTTTATTTTGAGAAATGTTGAATCTGATTCCAGTCGAAATAATAAAATCTGTCTTTTAAGAATCGTGAAGCTATTTCTCCTAAAGAAAGACTTGCTATACCACTAATTAAGAATTAAAGTATTCCATTAATGGGAATTGTATTAAATTTTATATAAATTTTGATTTATATTATTATTAAAACATGTAATTATTAATAAATTATTTAAATTAAATTATTAAAACTTACCAAAAAGTTATAATTTTAGTGGTACGTTTCATAACTAAAATGTACAAAACTTAAGAACAAAAAAAATTAAAATGTCTGAGTAGTGATTTTACATTAAATTTAAAATTAATTTAATTACTCAACACGATTAGAAGTATTTTCAGTTGTGTGAGATTCACTAGCAAGCTGAAAATACTCGAAATCTGACGAGCCTTTTCCATGGTTTCCACTGCGAAACTCAAGCGGCCGCGGAAAAAACGCCTCCGACCGCGAAACAAAATCCGCCGCGAATTATACGCTGCTGCACGCTCGCCTGCCGCGCGGGCCTCAGCGCGCCCATTAGCCACCACGTGTCGCAAAACTTCCGCTGAGGACATATCGCGCCGGAGCCTTAAAATTCACGTCATGCGGCTATAATCAAGTCAGAAACCTTTTCACATGAAACACTCGAGTACAATTGGAAGATCTGTCATTCGACTGATACTACTTTCATCTGTGTATTTGCATATTGTCATCCCATGGCTTTTGTCACCTTATATGTCACCTGTGTACATATGTGCCCGTGGTAAACAACGCCCCCATTTCGATGCTTATGCCGCTATTCTAAATGAAGGAAGCAACTTTCTGAATTACACTCAGAGAATGCATACGTATCTGTCAGTTACCGATCAGAGATAAGGATTAAGGTACATATTGTACTGGGAATGCACCTCAGGCCACAAACAATAAACACTCATGCCTTATGCATGTTTCGTATATACTTACAGACTTATTGTCCCCGTACACGGTCTCACCTACCCCAAGCCCCTGTCTGATGTCACTGCAGTGCCTCTGATCGGAAGACTAAGGATCTACCCCATCGGTGGCAGGATTTTCGACACTAGTTAGATTGCTAGGTTGATGTCAGCCACAGTTTAGAGGAGAATTCTAGCGGCCGGCTGCTCTGATTGGCAGTTTTCCGTGGTTTCTCCAATCAACACCAGGCGAATGCTGGAGCAGTACCCTAACAATCGTGCCACGACCACGCGAGATCTTTCATTTCTCTCCCTTGTCCTTCCCTAGCCCCTTACTTACACCCACATGCACTACACTACCACTGGTGTCGGGAGCGTAGGGTTTGTTCCGTCTTGGGCGGTCCCGTTCGTGGGGGATACCTGGTTGGGGAAAATCCCCGTAAGCCGACAGACAGGTCGGCGCCGGATCTCACCCTCAAGCGGGGACGATCACCGCTACCTCTCGTGATAAAAACATGCACTGCAGTTTGACATGACCTTAAACAGTTGATGCAGCAAAAACATGACCTTAGCAGTTGATGTCCCCGGAATCGCTAATAAATCAATAAAAACCCAAGCCCATGTGTGATGGTGCATTCGGACGCGTCACAATGGTTAATAAAAAGATGCAATAAGATAATTAAAAACTGATTTTTAACTGATGAATAACTGATATTTAATAAAATGAGAAACAGTCGAAGGTGCAAGGATGGATTTTCAAAATGTTTATTTCTAAAAATATCCAAGGAACTATGCAGGTAGCAGATCTGGGAAGAATAAATAAGTAAATAAACAAAGAACCTTTTAGGAAGAATACACAGTCACTCGAACTCTAGGTTATTACACAATAATGAAAATATTTTTTAGGTTATTACATAAATGAATGAATGTTCGTATGATTGGAAGTGAAGGAAATAAGAAATGGGCGATTACGCATGTTTAAACAATAAAATATTAGGAATTTGTTATAGGGGAAGGATAACTAAATTGGTTATTTGACGTTTTGTTAGAAAGTATTACAATGTATAAATTGTGGAATTCAAAGGACATCTAAAATTGGAATATAAAAATGTACAGCGAGTTTTAAACTGCACGGTGAGGAGGAAGGTGTGCAACAATGCGTATAGACAGACGGGTTGGATATCTGGGAGTGTTGATATTGTGGCAGAAGTGAAATCTGGAGTTTTTTATGTAAAAGTTGGTTCGAAAGTGGTAGGATGTCGTAATGTGGTGTTCCATAATAAGGAACATAGTTCGCGAGTGTTTCGATTTGGAGTTTGAAAAGAAAAGGATGGTATCCGCGACGAGAAGGCGTAAATAATCGCAGCAGCGGAGACGGTGCCATTTTACGGTGTCCAGAAACCATGGAGGTGATTCAATTTTGCAACAATCATATAACAAGGCCAGGATTGTAACCATTTAAGTAATTATTAGTAATGGCTCTGAGTTATTTCTTTTTTTCTTCTCAAAACGAGTACACTCGCGTGAATGAATGCAGTTTACATATGTATGAATGAGTGTTATTAAAGTCGTTATCTTCAAGATATGTTGTTGTATTTAAAGGGTAAATTTAATGTGTCATGATATGTTTTGGTACTATAGAAAGCGGGTATATATACGGCGGAGTGCAGAATTATCCGTGTAGCATTTTGAAATCTGGTGTTTGTCAATAAATACTTGCTGCTCATATTGATGGAATTGTTAAAATTTGTGAGTATATATTAGCAGGTAATATAAAACCAATGATAGGGGAAAGAACATAGAGGGCCAGGTTCCTAAATCTATATGATAATATTTCGATTTTCAGTACAGGGGCGACTTCGCGAATTCACACAAAATTTATATATTTGTACTTTAGGAGCGTAAACTTCGCGTAACGTAATAAATTGTTATTAGTTTACATATTTTGACACGCTCAAGTGTGGGGTGAAACAGGCAAGGGGTAATTATTAGAAATTTTAAAACACAAGTTTATGATCCATTACACATGTCTCACGAGTTGCGAACCACTGAGGACTATTTGCAAATATGTAACGTGTGACGGTTATGTAACCATTTAGTAAACAATTAAGAGTATAACTAAAACTGATCTTTTTGATGCCTATGTGCCCTAGAATGTACTACAGAATCTCAGTAATATTTGACACCAATTGTTTCCATAGCAACAATGTAATCAAAGTTGTTTATATTTTAATTTGTCAACACTGTATTTATTAATTGGAATTAAGTAATCTTAGAGACTGTAAAGAATAAACAATTCACAGATTGTCTCACCTATCACAACGGTCTTTGCCTGTAAAATTCATATTGAGGTAATTATATGTTTTATAAAAAAACTGGAACATTGCTTTAAACATTTTCTCAACTTGTTGGGCCCGATTACTTTAATTAAAATGGGGCATTGAGAATTCAATAGAGTAGCAAAACATACTTTTTCATTGGAAATTTTTGGGGAATATTGTGCTAGTGTGCCAAAGGCTTCATCAGAAGTACCACAAAAATGAAATAATCGTTTTAAATTCGCAGGTCTTAAAGTCGGGCCAAATCAAACGGGGAATATTGATTTTGGAAAAAAGTCGGGTGAATTGATTAGGCCCTACTGTTATATACAGACCAAGCTGAAGTTTTGCAGAAAAAATTACCTTCGGTGTCAGTGAACCCCAAAAGTGTACTGCCATAAAAATCTGGACATCCATTCTCCATAGCATTCCATAACTTTCTCTTCACTATATCCGCGAGAAAGTGAAAGTCTATTAATATTAAACGTTATAACTGAAATTGTTGCAAAAAACTGCCTAGTTGATAAAATAAAGTGTTTGGAAAAAGTATAAATATTATTACAATGTAAAGTAATCATATAGAAACATTTTACTTTATAATTACAATAAAAGTCTATTAACAAATTTTTCGTTATGACGAACATCATATTACCGATCCATCTACATACCAAAACTCTACCAAAGCATTTGCAAAATTGAAGTCTAATTTGTTGCTAAGATAGAATGTCTTTAAGAGCTGATGATATCCATATTTTACAACCCTTCATTTTGGAAAAATGTCCCGCCTAATTTATCCTAGAGCGTAAATCTAGCCTTAAATTTTGGAAAGTGTTTCGCATTTTTATGACTTTTTTGTCATGTGTGTGTGTGTGTGTGTGTGTGTATGTGTTGTGTCTTTTACTTTATTTAATCCTGAATTTTATAACATGACTGGAATGCATTTACTTTTCCACTCTATAGTATAGAGATAAAAGTATTGGAATCCCTTCAAAAATACGATCTCGAATTTTTGGTAGTAAAATCTGTGTTTAAAGTTCTTTTGAGCTGTAACTTTGCAACGCGCCAAGATTAACGCATATTAATGCTGATATATTTCTTAAGGACTGGTTCACCTAAAAAGATAAGCAGAAACCACCCCTGGGTTCTGACAGGAGGCCCCTGCCCTTTTAGTGATTCAATGGGCTTATATCATCATCATCATCATCATCATCAACAACATCATAATCATCACCATCATCAATGATGAAGCAAATATGGTTAAAATTGGTGCAAGAGGCGAGTAGATACACTCAATTTTGTACCCTAAAATCGGCCTGTATGGATAGATAAATGGATAGATAGACAGACAGATAGATAGTTGGAAGAATGTGTCGCACATAATTCTTCGATATTGGGAGCTTTTTAGCTGGAGTAAGATCTAGGTGTGATGTTCTGGAAGTCATTAAGATATTTCGATTTTTGGGTGTATTTTAATTGAAGCCCTCATGACATTTTCCCAATTTTCTGGAAAATGGTTGCAATTTTTTTCTTTTTTTCTCAAATAGAAGGAAGTGCATTAATAAAAAATGGTTTAGTTCCGACATTCGTTAATTCCCAAGAAAAGTTTGATAATTGCAAAGTGAAAATTAATTTTCGAACCTCTCCTATATTTCCAATATTAAAGCCAGAGATTTTTTTTCAATGCAATTTATTCCTCAATTTTAGATTGCAGTAGTTGTTGAATAATAACTAATGATACTGGAAGGAGGGAAGTTTTGGTTTGTAATTACTGTGTACAAACTTGAATTTTCGAAAATGAAGGCCGATTTTTCCCTTGAGTCCAAAATTCGCTGTCAGAGGACGTAGTGATAAAATGATCTGATTGCTTTCGCATAAGCAGCTGCGCGCTTCTAGAGCCGATCACAAGTTCCAGAAAGAGCAAAGGTGGTTATGAGGAGCTAAATTCTTGTTAAAGCAGAAAATTGAGTGAAGCATCGATATTTCACGCTTTTCAAAGGGCACGGAGGGGAATAATTCCAAACAAAAACACATTCTTCCTTTCAAAAATACATATTGCATATTGTATATAATACCTATCATAAGCCGAATGAATAGAATATGTGATACTGGACAAGAAAATCAATCTGCCCAAATCTGTAGAACATTTTTATGGAAAAGAAACACACTCACCGGTTTGGTAAGCCATCTTGATTTGATCCAGTTTGTCGTTGCTTCGACCCCATAGTAACTCAATAAGCGTATTCATATCCGGCATAATTTTCTGTAACAACATACATCATTTTATGCATACTTACTCATGATTCGTTTGTTGGATATTAACGGATCTGAATAAATTTAACGTACCTGAATAAGATATCTAAATAAATTCAGAGGATAGGAAATCCAATCTTGTTTATAAAATTTATTTTTGAAATTAATAATACATTCCACATATAAATGTTTCAACATGAAAATACCCACTGGAGGCGCCAAGCGCTATTAATCTTTAATTAGTTGAACCAGTGCAAAAATTGCACACTTTTGTGCGCGTGGAAGGATACTTATACTCTAATTTTTATTCCTACATTCCATTATCGAACAATAATGTAAAGTTTTAAAAGAGATATCTTGAGCGCATAAGACAAGTTTTTTAAATCATAACTCATTTTTTGGGTTATTGTAGCATATTATTTTGAGTTAACATCAGTGGTGATCGAAGTGAAAGCGTCTTCCTCATCACGCATTGCTGAGAAATGCAACGGCAACTGGTCTCGTTACCTCAACCGTCAACAGAGCAAAGTCCTTCAGAAGTCAAATTGACTATCTTCAGCACACCTTTGTTTTTGTGTAATGTTATGTTAAGACTACAACCTTTTGTGAAACCTAAACGTGCTAAAAATTGTTATTACTGTGAGTAATAATATACTTTTGATGTACGCAAATGCAATTGTGGAGTAACTATCTCTTAAACGCTAAGATTTGAATAAAATGTCTAAAAATATATCATTTTGACGTTTAGGGCGTTAAAAACAAAATTAGCGTCCCTGACGGACACAAATATCTGCTTTTAAAACTAAAACATTGCGATTGTGATATGGTGCAGCGGGTTGCATCTGCACGCTGTTTATTTAATTTAATTTAATATATTTGTAACACAAACTATAAATATATTTTAGCTTTCTGCACTACTTATCCTCATAAACTTTAACTATGCCAAATTTCACACTCCTCCGTGCGTGCAATGTACTTAAAAATTGGTACAAAGTTTGCTCTTCACTATTATACACATACCTTGTAACAAATTTCGGATTTATCTCGGGAGAGTAGGCTTCATATTGCTATTACTAATATTTGTATTATGTTTTTGTGTATTTGTTAAAAGTAATGTGTTATTCACCTTATGCTAAATTAATTTAATGAACTTTAATAATCGATTCAAAATTCAAAGAAACGTAAGAAATACGAAAAAAATTCTATTGCTGAGTGCGGAGATAAATGAAAATGTGATCTTAATAAAAACGCTTTTATCTTTTTGTATGATACCTGCAAGGCACAGTGGACTTGCGTCGCCAGAAATTCAGCAGGGGTCTGAAGTAACATCAGAGATATCTCACGCACGTAGCCGCCCAACTTCTCCGAAACATCGGTCTTCAGGTCCTGTAATATTAAAAGACTTATCTTATTTTTTCATCATGTACGAATATAAAGGTTTCGACATACATAATTTCATCATTCATGTCAAAATTTAGCGTGTGGATGAATTGGATGACGATGGTCCAGAATCACTAAGTTCAATTGCACGTTGATAGGGAAAATTATGTTAATGATTTAGGAAATAGTTTTTATACGACATATTGGTGGATGTATATGACCGATAGTAGAATTCCGAGGGATATGTGTAATAATAACAATAATGGTTTCCTATATTATTTCAGTTGTATACCTGTTGCTGCTCTTACAGGCAACCGATCTTTATAAATGAGGTGTTTAAAGAAAGGTAATTCTACAAGACGTGGCGAATTGCACTTTGAGTTTAAACAAATGAAATTCATTTCAAATCTAATCCGCATCCCGCATACAGCTATATAGTTAAATTAACTTTTAAATGAAGCGCTCTAGGGCCTTTTGAGACCAAACTAAAGTTTTGAGATCAGACCGTCACGAAATTTTCCTCACACTATAATCTATAGGATGAGATATTCTTGGACATTCTATTAAATTTGTCCTGTTTGGTGCTTATCAATACTACCAATACCACATTGCAAGTCGGAATACAGAATATATTCCTCCATGGCCTATATTTCAGTCCTTGGTGCAGGTGACCATCTTTGTGACTTCACGATTAGAAGGTTTATTTTCCTCCATCTTATTCTATTTACGCTTTCTGTGTATATAGAAAGCGGTTTGCGCAGACAGACGAGATTTATTTGCTTAGTTATTAATTAAAGACTTGCTCTCACCGCAACAACTAGAAATACTATTAATAGTTGCTTGATACCATGAAGATTGTTTTTTAGGGTTGTAGTGTAACCATTAATTTTTAGTTTTTCCGTGGTCTACAAGTGTTGTGTACGTAATTGTGGAGGGAACTACAATGGAAACGGACCACACGTTCCCATGTTTCAGTTTCACGATACCTTTAGAAAAAATGAAGGTGGGTTTAACATGCAAGATCTATTGCATTGGTATACTAATAATAATTATTGTTATGCCTCATGGGTGGCTCATGAACAGCGTGCTAGCTTTCTATGGTGCTATCCCGGGTTGGAAGCCCGATCGGGGCAAAAATAGAGCTGTAGCTTTTTTAATATAATCGTCCCAGTTTCTATAACTGTGACGAAAGAGAAGCGCAGGCAGATCAAGTTTGCTGGGTGTTAGGAATATGTCATGCTCACCACGTGTGGATAATGATTAAAACATGGCCAAGCGCTGGAAACACTGTTAGCTGGCAAATATCGGATTAATACGACCCTAAAATGCCCAATACATGTATACAATATTATAATATTAATAATAATTATTATCAGACAATTAAAGAGGAAACAGTAGGTTTAGAAGCTAGGGTAGACAATAGACTGACATACAGGCTCAGGTTTTGTCGTCAACTTAAAGCTTTTCGGTATCAAAGACCCATAAAACGTGGACTCTGATTACACAACGTCGCAGCCATGTGAAAATATCATTGCAATTTTATATGCACTTCCATGACTGGAAGAGCTGCAGGAAACATAAAGACATAAACATAGAATGTTGCTTTCACGGCCGGTTTCTACATTATAATCTGTTATTTCCGGGCTTGAAGGCCGTGGTCCAGCGGAGAGTTGTCCAAACGTTTCGCCTGCAACTGTGGCAGGCATCCTGCCTGCCTGCTGATGCCTGCCACAGTTGCAGGCGAAACGTTTGGACAAGTCTCCATTGCACCACGGCCTTCAAGCCCGGAAATAACTGATTATGATACAAATACATAAACTTCAAATTAACTTCTCCATAGGAAATCACATAGTTTTTAACTGTTTTGATGTAAATATGTATATATATATGTAGATATGTATATATATATATATATATATATATATATATATATATATATATGGAAGGTCATTAGCGTTATTTGCCAACAATGAGAGTTCTGAGAATCTAACGGCCGACTGGCGGACTAAAGTTCTGACGCCATGCGCAATCGTGCGCATGTCGCGCAGCGATGTTCGCAGCATGATCGCAGGACGCGCGCGATATAATTTGCTCCCCGAAATCCGTGAATTCTTAAGTTCGCGTTTTTCCTTTGTAACCGATGAAAAAATATTTTGTATCGTCAATACTTAGAACCCTCGCGGTTTAGTTCCTTGATCGGCGTGCTCATTTTCCATGCGACGCGACCCCGGGTTCGATTCCCGGCCGGGCAAGATTATAGTGTGCGTTTCATTGCAATGTCCTAATATATGTTGCTGTGTGACGATGAAAAAACACGCTTTTCAGTTTAAGAAGACCAGAACACTGCGTGGTGATGTCTTTGTGCTAACCAAACATACCCCCTGAACCCATGGCCGCGAGACCGGGACGCTGCTGTTAGACCCAGGCCCGCTCGCGAGCTAACGCCCCAAGTACAGACAGACAAACTGACAGACAATACTTAGAACCAGTGCTTGATTTATACACGTTTAGGTTTCGGAATGCTCCCCAAATTAATTATTAATCTAATAGAAATAGTTATATATTTATACTATAATTAAATAATAACTCCCGATTTCCGCCGCTTAGAACTATCCTCGACGTCTACGAGTACAACCTTGTGAACGTTATAGAGGAAGAGAAATCATTATGAAACTGCCGTGCAAAAACGAAGCGTTTGTCAGCAAAATGACATTTCAAACACGCTCATATAACAAAAAAGAAGACTGATTATTTTTTCCTTTTTCGCCAACGTTTACGCAGGGAAAGTTTTGTAATGCTACGGGAAAAAGCGGCGAATTTTCGGCAGAAAAACTCTTATTACAGGGCCCTGGTAACGAAAACGTAAATACATCCAGTAGGTAAATTTAGAAAAAAATTATAACACGTGGCAGAATACATGTTTTGTAAGTCCTTGATAACGAAAAATCGAATGACGGCAAAACGTCTGTCCGTTCTTAATAACGCTAGCAGCTAAATTGTTCGTGCTATTTTCTCCAAAACTGATATTCCTCTATCGATCGTACTGGAGCCTGGTCCGTTGAATTCGAAACTAATATTTTAATGTTGGGGGGTACTTTACATGAAGCTTCTGCGATATTTTTAAAGTTTAAAAAAATGTCTCCTACGTTTTTTATTAAATTTTGTTGTCGAATAGTTGATGGACGTTTAAGAGAATGGTGCAGGTCTAATTTTCTTTCAAAACCTTGCTTTTCTTAAAGTTGCAAAAATTCAATTTTTTTTCGGCGTCTTACTACAACTACAATTATGATGATACGGATTTTACCCTTAAGAAATTCTGTTACTTAAAAATAGATTTTGATATTCGGTAAAATACAATTTTTTCGAAAATTTGAGTACTTTTTGCGACATTTTGCGTGAAAGTTCGAGCGAGAAAGTACGTGCTGTTTTAGCACCACCAGTTACTTGACAGTTTCGTGAAAAGTTAAAATTAACAGACTGGACATTTTTGAAGGAGGAATCGTCCCCCCACCTGTATCCGCTACTGATCGCATGGACGAGCTGGTGCAGATCTATGACGCCGATTGCACGGAAGACCGAGTAAATGAAAAATCGAAATACATTCAAAAGAAATAATACCCTTTTAATTTCCTTGGGCGTTGACACACGACTTACACGCCCAGAGAAAACGCCACTCATATCCAGCAAAATTAGAAATACAAATAAGTGCTAATTATAGACGAGTTATATGTCAACAAACAGTTCGAGCTGAGTTACGTTTTCATCCAAAACGACTGTACATTTTGAAGTGAGTTTTTTTTCTGCATAATTTACAATCTGTTCCTATCGGAACAACAAGCAAATAGTGTCAACAGATACATTTCCGATGTGAACGTTTTATGACATTGAAAAATTTCATTTACAAAATCGGTATGGCAAATGAAAAATACTCTCTCGTTTCAGTCTATAGACATGTTCACTGTTGTCTAGCAGGTTTGTTGAGAGGTAATTTGGGTGCTCGTACAATCTCCTCTGGTAAGCTTGGCTCTTCGTGATGATTATTCCCTCCAGCGAGACGATGTCGAGGTCTCTGTATATCGTCTTGTTAGTCACGTACCATGGTGCGTTGCATAGTTTTTCTTAGTGTTTTAGCTCGAATCTTTTGGATTTCTAGATTCGATTTACTGGAAAGCCCCACAATTCAATACCATAGGTTCATGTTGATTTGATTATAGTTTATAAATCAGTATATTGTTATGTCAAGGACAGCTTTGATTGTCTGTTTATTAGCCTATGACAATTTGAGGACTTCTTCTTTCTCTTATTTTTTGGATGTGGGTTTTCCAAGTCAGGCGTCTATCCAAATGCAGTCCAAGATATTTGATTGTATCAGCTTCGTAGAAGTTCTGTGTTTGCTTAGTTTTTACTTTGGGCATTTTCTTTTCTTAGTGAAAATGTTATATTTTTGATTTTGTTTCATTTACGGTGACTCGCCAACGATGACTCAAATCTTTCGATTTTGTTTAGATGTTCTTGAAGATGTTGTGATGCGCAGGAGGGGTCTTCATTTGCAGAAAGAATAGCTGTGTCGTCTGCAAAGGTGGCTATTGTAGTTCTTTCTGTTGTTGGTAAGTCTGAAGTTGATATAAGATATAAAAAAAGGTCCAAGAATACTTCCTTGTGGCACTCCTGCAGAAATAGGTTGGAATTCCGATAGAGCGTCCTGATATTTCACTTGAAATAGGCGATCGCAAAGACATGATTTGAGAAGTAATATGTAGGAGTGCGGGAGAAGTTTTTTTATTTTAAATAGAATTCCTTCACACCATACCTTGTCGAATGCTTGTTGTATGTCTAGGAATGCTGTAGAACAATATAGCTTTTTTTTCCAGGCTTTGAGAAATTGTGTTTACAATACGATGGGTCTGTTCTATTGTTGAGTGTCCTCTCGAAAGCCGAATTGAAATCAGGAATCACTTCTTTTAATTTAGGTTTGAGGCGCTGTAAGAGAAGTTTTTCAAATACTTTTGATAGGCCTGTAGCAGGCTAATAGGTCGGTACGATGTAACTTCCTGGCAGTCTTTCCAAGTTTTCACGATCGCATATATTTTGAGTGTATTTCCATTGACGAAGGATAAATGGTATTCGAAGTATTGGCGTTGATAATAATGCTTGTTACGTAGTTCATATTCTTTTTCTTGCATTTCCTGCAACATCTTGCGGTAATAAGGTCAAAACCCTGGATCTTTGCAGGATGTGTGTGTTTTTTGATTGTTTGTTCGACTTCTCGTGAGTTGAAATGCTCAATGGGCAGAGATAACTGTAAAGACACGTACAAATATTCTAGAACTTTTATTTTCCATAGTACTTACATTTTCTTCTGGTTTGAAGACTGAAGCAAAGTGTCTTTGCTAAGCAACTCGACCTTTTCTTCTGTGCTTCTTGCCCATGTGCCATCTTCTTTTCGAATTGGTGAGATGTGCTGTTGGGGTCGCTTCAGTTTTTCTAGTTGCTTTCCAAAGCGAATAATTAGTTTCAGCAGAAGGTGATAGTGCTTCAATGTAATTAGAGAATGATTTTGTTTCGTATTCCTTAATTTGACGTGTTAATTGTCTGGCTGCTGTATTATATTTTCTTTTGTCATCTGGTTGTCGTGTCGTCATGAATATTCGTCGGAGTCGACGTTTTTCTACCACTTTTTGTCTTAATTTTTGCGGGATACGTTGACGATTTATTTATTGTTTCTTTTGGTGTTGCGGCCCAGGCGCGTCTTGTAATGGTCAGATAGGTGCTGTATCAGCGGTCCTTCGATGTTTTCTTCAGTTGTTAGCAGTGCGTTTGCAGATAGTTTATTGTTCACGTAATCGCGGTACTTGTTCCAGTTTGTCTTGTTACTTGTTAGTTTTTAGAGGATAGTTTCTTTCAGATATATTTGAACTGATGTCATTCTACTGGGGTGTGGTCTGAAGAAAGGTCGTAGGCAAGATTTTACTTCTACTGTACCAAGATGCACACCTTTTGCTAAGTAGAAGTCCAGGAGGTCAGGAAGCTTATTGACGTCAGTGGGTAGTGAGTAGTGACCGATTTTATAATTTCGAAAACAAAACCGAACAACAATCTCAGCAACAAACTGTGGCTGTCAGGAAATTGAGGTCGTCGAGGGCGACCTGAAATGACAATCGCTCTCCTGGCCTCCATGGCGCGGGGCAGCCCCGCGGACACGCCATCCAGCGAGTCGATCATGTGATAGCGATTGATTTTTGGCGCGCCGCGTGCTTCCACGAACTCCCGCGTCGTCAACGATACTGGCGCGCGGTGCGGCGCGGCGCGGAAAGAGTTCAAGGGTGCGATGACTCCGGGGTGTGGAGCGGTTGTCTTTCCTCTGTCGAGTCAATATGAGCGTTGATATTCCCCCGGCCACCCAGTGTCATGTTGGTAAACTAATCGCACCTTCCAAGAAGATTAATGTTTTCTCATGTTGTTACGTGGTCGAAATAATGTGGCTGATGAAACTTACTCTAATACATTAATCTTAATTTGTGTTAGAGGAATTCTTATACGTCCCAGTACTATTATATTACGAATTATTATTATTATTATTATTATTATTATTATTATTATTATTATTATTATTATTATTATTAATTGACAGAACGAAGTGATGTTACGTTTTAATTCGATCATTCCGCATTTCCTCTACCGGTAAATTTGCTTGGTATGTTGACAAGCAAACTCTTTCAAATTGGCATTGCATGAATGTGCCATAAAGTCATTAATAACGACGAATATGTGAGGATTTCTATTTTTTATTGGTTTCTCAATGGTGGCCGTTTTAATGGTTCCATTTCATGTAATGTATTTGTTCTCACGACCAGGCGCGCTGTTCCCCATTTTCGGTTTTAAGTGATGTTCTGCTTTTTTCAATTATTTATGGAAGCGAGGTATACTACAAATATATCATTTAATTGAAAGCATTCACTTATCTTTTATGGTTACTTGAGTTATGATTTCTTCTTAAGTCATTAAAAAGTTGATAACTCATTAAAAATAAAACCACAAAATTGTTATCGCCTTATTGTGCTTCCATTTAATATATAATAATCCACTAGAACTATTCAGATTGGAAAGACATATAATACGAAATTGTTGAGATGATGAAAGTAATGTAATGCAAATTAATGAGTTTGACTCCCAATTAATAATCCTGTAAGTGGTCCTGCTGCAAGAGTTTCGAATGTTGTCCTAATAGGACTCTATTGTGGCTGTAGATATTTTTGACGATTGTCGTTCAACTCGGACTGGTGCATCTTTGTTCCAGCTTTGTTCCCTTGCAGATGGAAAGAAAAAAATGAAGAGCAAATACTAATATCCGTAAGCTTTCTGAATAAGTGTGACATACATTTTGGGCGAACAATGAAACCTTTCCATCAAACGTTATTTAGCGGCGATATATTTCGGTTTTAAGTGATGTTCTGCTTTTTTCAATTATTTATGGAAGCGAGGTATACTACAAATATATCATTTAATTGAAAGCATTCTCTTATCTTTTATGGTTACTTGAGTAATGATTTCTTCTCTAAGTCATTAAAAAGTTGATAACTCATTAAAAATAAAACCACAAAATTGTTATCGCCTTATTAAATTAAAACCATTAAAACAAAAATTATATAGTGGCGGCGATGGTGTAACGGTTAGCGTACTGGACTGTTGTACCCATGTTGGCGGGTTCAAACCCGATCAAAGCCGTGGATTTTTAGGGGCGAAAAAATCCTTCGTACGCCTTCCTTCGGAGGGGAAGTAAAGCCGGCTGTCCCATGTTCGTAGATTTACTTGCATGTAAAAGATCCTCAAGCCTAAATGACGCCTCTGAGCTAAATTCAAATCGCCTGTCTCGCCCAAGAAATACCTCCTTTCTCTCCTAGTTGGTGAAAGGAGCGTAGCGAAATTTGCGTGGTCAGACGGAAGATCGGGCCTGATGGCCCGAGTCTCGCCACGTAAAATAAGGCAAATTCAATTCAATTCAATTTAATTTAATCCACAGCAGTCAATGACGCTCTTCAGTGCTACATGGCAGTATCTGTTATTGATATTCTTGTGATACTCACTAAACCTTAAGGTCAAGGTCAATCAATACTGGTCTCTAGTAACGTAATTTGTCATTTTTTCGCGGTGAAATATTTTTAAATGATAAAAAATCTTAGCCAAATTCATGTACTCATGTCTAAATTAATTAGAATATTTATTATAAATTATATTGATAAGTTTTTACTACGAACAATGCAATTATTGAAAATCAGCACCGTAGAGGTGTGCTATGGGAGGTCTAGTGCAGTAGTGCACCTGAAAATTTTCAAAGGGGCCTCGAAGCTTTACGTAATAAATCATGTTATTTTTATTATCTTTTTAATTATCAATTTAATTATCTTTTTAGAATGTTTTATTCATCATTTGTAACTAAAAAAAGTTCGGTATCAAAGAGGACCCAGAAATGTGTTTGCCCCCTCTTGCTTTAGGCTGTGTACGCCTATGATAAGCAATAATATTTTTATGATTTGCAAACGTGTAAGTCTTTAATGCAATAAAAGGTTTCGGTTTCAGTGTATCATAAAAAATCGGTTTAGTTTCTGTTCCAATTTCCAATTTGTAACTGTTTCAAAAGTTTCTTTTTAATAAATCGTACAAGTTGGACCAGTGTGAACATTCCGCACGTTGTAAATCATCGTTGTTTAAAAAAGAGATGGTTCCATAATTTTCCGGCCTGACCAAGATATTGATAATCTATGGAAAAACCTTCTGAGTAGTAAATATTCATATCTTTAATTGTTTTGATGGCATACGTTTGCAGCCGTCATCTCATTCAGTTTTGTGAAGAGAGGTATTTGAGCTAGGTGCGGTGTTTGAAATCTCATGGTGTTTAGCTTCTTCATTACAACGAATCTGTGCTTACTATTCAGATCGCAAAGGATGTTGTGAAGAGCTATGGCTTTAAGGAGTTAGACCATTCACCCTACCGTCCAGATTGAGCACCCTTGTTCGTCTATCACTTATAAAAACCGACGAAAAACCTTCGTAAAACAAAAGTTTAACACGAGTGTGAGGTAAAAGAAGCAGTTTTTGACCATTTTTCGAACAAAACTTCGTATTATTTTTTCAAAGGCTAGAAATACAGATGGAGAAGTGGGCCGGAGTAAAGAATTATTAAGTTGAAAAGTTACGTATTTTTTTAAATTAAAAATGAAGTTAGCAAATTGAAGTTAGCGAGCCCATAAACGTATGGAACCTACCACGTAGCTTCATGCGAGGGACCAACTTCGAACGTTTCTGACAACCCTTTTAGCGAAGTGGGGTTATCTTCCAAACACACAACCAAAAGTCCACAATTTTCTCAGTTGGCAAAGACGGACAGTCGACCTACAATTGCCAAGTACTTACCTAAATCAACCTCTTAGTACAGGATGTCTCTGATTAACATTGTTAGAAACCTGTAGGGCATGTTTGTTGCAGTTTCATTTGTTTGCGAAATTTGACACTGATCAGTAGGCAACTCATCGTGCAAAAATATGTCAGACACGAAATCTTTGCGCCGACACGTCACCAGCGAAACACCTATGTTCGACGGATTGCCTACCCACAAGGGGAAATCACGTGTAATTTGGTTCCATGATCATCGGTATGAAATTATTATATTTTACCCCTTGCAGTCCCCAGAAACTTCTAACATTTATTAAGAGACTCCCCGCAATTTAATGATAATGATAATAATAATAATAATAATAATAATAATAATAATAATAATAATAATAATAACAATAATGTCTTTATCAATAGCAAGTCACAGGCCATACGGCCTGCTCTTCCGCCTAACCATTTGAATACACATTTCCACAGAATAGTAACATTTAAGAGGGGGAGGAACCAGCTGTACATTTACGAAGCACATAAACGCCCTCTCGAGGCGTCGCGCCGCGCACGCACCTTGTCGCTGAAGACGCGGTAGTGCCTGCGCAGGTGCTGGCGCTGGCGGTTGCTGTGCGTGGCCAGCACGTCCACCACGGTGGCCGTGTCCACGTGGCCGCGCCCCAGCGCCTCGTGCAGGTTGCGCGCCGCCTGCTCGCCGTGGAAGTCGCTGCGGGTGCGCACTGTGCCCTGCCAAAGCGGGACACGGACCTTTTTAAAGACGGCTCCGCGCATTGTAGGAAGTTATCGTTTCTTTAAAATTCAGTTGAATCATTTTCTACATGACTTAGACTTCATTCACGATGCCAACTTAAACGTAAACATAACGTAGTCGCAAAACTTAGAAATACGTTATTAAGTGAGGCCATTGACAATGCCTTGACGTAACTGTAGATGTAAAGCCGTAACCTTAAGAGTTCACAAGCACCAAGCTTTTACTTTAAGTTTACGTCGGAATTCTACCCACGACCAATCGGAGAGCAGCATGAAAGAAACAAACAGGGTGGATTTCAGATTGTGTTCAGGTAGTTTGTGGTTAGGTAATTTCCTTAGTTGTACTGTACATGTACTTAGTGTTATGTACTGAACTAGTTTGCGATCTGTTTTGACTCGAGTACAAATTCAAAGTAAGAATTTGAGCATTTTTTCTTGTGACTTTAACTTGACGTGGCGAATAAAATAATTACATCCGACGAATCTCTCGTGAATTTGCTACAAGAGAATGCTTGTTTATAAAATAAAGGAAATGCTAACATTAATACAACAGATACTCGCATTTATATATGAAGACAAATCGATAGGAAAATCGAAGAGGAAGCTAGAAACAATGGTGGACAGATCTTTTCATGATAGAAACTAATCGACAATCGATCATGCTTCAATATTCTGAAATCTGATTGGCTCAGGCGAAACTTACGTTCCCGCTTCGTTCGTCATTGTGAATGCTTGTTTGTACGTGTAAATTCTTGCTAAGTTTGCGTCATTACGTTACGTTTTAGTTTGCACTGTCAGTGAGGCCATAGGGTGGTAGAAATGCAGTTTGTGATCCGATTCGTTCACGCGCGCTGTCGATCACGAGAATGAGTCACTGACGGCGTGGGCAAAGAGCGCGGCCGCAGAATTTTGACGCTTCGTTACGCGTGCCCAAGATGAGGACGAGGCTCGCGTCTTTGGCCCTTGCGATACCATAAAACATCCTTAACTCCGTACAACGCATAATTATCAACGCATTTTATATGAATACTCACCGAGAAAATCGTTTGGCGTGTATGCTCGTCATGTGTTGCAGGAATGCCTCCATTTCCTCTCCTCCTGTTTGTCCCACTAGTTTTCTTCTATACTCGCATAAATCCCGTCAAGATCTGTTCTGTTCGTTTGCTGGTTCCGCTGGTGAACCAATCGGATCACAAACTGCATTTCAGTTCTTAATGTTAAAGAGTTATAGAGTAAAACCCGAAAAAGTCAGAAAAAATCGGTTTTTGGTCCTCCCGCAGTTAGCATGGGGTCTGGGAGGTCGACAACTTGGGGGGTTTTAACTAGTGTCTGGGTACATACAGTACACCTAAGAGAAAGATGGCAATTTCCCAGGTAAAATGTACCTACTGACTCGACTATAAAAAATGTATTACCTACCTTTTTATTTATTTTATTTAATTATTTACGTCAAAAACAGTTCAAAACTACGTGTGTGTGACGTGCTGTGGGGAGAAGTTGAATTGAAGTTACCATTATGTCCAGAAGCAAAACTTAAAATTTCAAAAAACGTTCGCTTTTGCAGCAATAATGAAGCCATGATATAGGATTTCCTCCACTTCTCACTTGACTCACCAACGAGCCATCTCAGCTTTTGCTCAAGAATCAGGGAAACTGGACAAAAACCTGATCGAGGTGGGGGTCATTGACCCAGAAGCTGAAGTACAGAACTTGTTACAGGTTCTTACAATTGTATAGAAACAGTTGTGCAGCAGAAAAGATTTTATTTGGGACTTATATTTTTGTATCTTAACAACTAATGATATTGCAACACAGTAAACGCCCGATTATTCGAAGTCTCCTCAACCTCTCTTGTTTCACTTGTTTACCATATTTTACGGCATTAAAAGAAATTCTTTAAATATGAATAAGGTAAACAATAAAATTGGTAGAGTAGGTGAAAACAAGACGAGTTACAATGAGAGGATTGACAAACAACAATAAAATCATAGATAAACATCAATTATAGATTTATTGACAAAGAACAATGAGGAGAGTGTTTGTCACTGTGTGGACGTTCGGTTGCTATTGAATAGCAGTTGGCGTATGTGAATAAATTGTTACATTTCTCCATATTACTGTAGTTTTGTGTTACAAATTATTGAACAATGACAATCAAAAGAGAAAAAAGGTTTATCAATTCAAAGAAAACTAAAAGTGATTAAAAAAACTCGAAAATGGGGAGTCGAAAAGAATTACGTTTACGAGTACAGTATGGTACAAGAGAAACCACTTAGGGACATTTTAAACAAAAGGATAAATGAATGCAATTTGTAACCATATCCGACAATTCATCAATGAAAAAACTAAAAACTATTAAAAATGGCACTTATGAAAACTAGATGTGGCCCGTATAAAGTTGGTGAGTCAAGTGAGAAGTGGAGGAAATCCTATATCATGGCATCATTATTGCTGTAAAAGCATACGTTTTTTTGAAATTTTAAGTTTAGAATTTGTTTGATGCAGGATAGTTAGCAAAATTTAAATCACGTCACGCAAAAAGATAAAGTTGGCTTTACGGCGAGAAATTGTGTGACGAACAAGCAGCAAATGTGTTCAAAAACGAGTTTGAGTAATTTCTTCAGTCAGAAAATATTTCTTACGAACAAGTGTACGAAGCTGATGAGTCGGGGCTGTTGTGGAAATAATTGCCGTCACGAGCATTGGCATATAAAGCGAGCGGAAAGCTCCAAAGCATAAGCCCAGTAAAGAACACTAAACAAAATGCCCGCAGCAATACAACTGGGTCTCATAAATAGTGACGGGAGTGAACAGTGAAGTGTTGTGGAAAGTGGAAAAGAGTGTTGCTACAACAGTACATATTTTCTCGCATATTTTTGTAGCTTCTTCTATTTTAGAAAATAGATTTTGTTCCATTCGTTTAAGCGTCTTTCACGGTATCTGCGGAAAATCTTAATTAAACAATTTGGAGCCATTATTGAGAAAATTTTTAACATGTTGTTTAGGCTTCATGTAAAGCGCGCCCCAAAATCAAAATATTCGTTTCAAACTCAGAAGCTCTCGAGTTCGTTCAGATCGATTGGAGAATATCCTTTTTGGAAAAAATTGACCGAATGGTTTTGTCACTACCGTTTTCTATAGACGCGCAGTCAGGAGGGCGGACAGTCGTTGAGCCGACAATCAAGATTTCCGCATCAATGACTCACAAAACATGGATTCTGACTACTCTTTATGGCAGAGGAAGAAATTTACTGCATAAAGGAACAAAAATTTATCACCTTTTTCGTTACTAATGCCCAACAATAAGATTTTTTGGCCGAAATTCGCCGCTTCCCGGCGCCTGATTACAATAGTTTCTCTTCCTTCGAAGTAAGGACGAGGATGTAAACTAGTGGTGCTATAGAATGGCACATACTTTCTCATATTGTTTTTTTCTTTATCTCTTCAGTTGGTTATCTCTTCTATTTTGTAACAACTTCAGCTGCCATCTATTGGTGACTAAAGAACGTTTGTTTAGATTTTCTCGGTTCCCTAATGGAAAAATTGAAATGTTGGCGTTTGAGCAAATTTTGAAAATGCTGAATTTGGAGCTCATGTTCACAGAAAGATATTGAGTTTTCGATAATCTTAATATATCATCATTTAAAGCCCTTGTACTCACGAAAGTAATAATACATACAAATCACCGGCAATGTAAATATTAACGACGTGAGAGAGATAAAAAAAATACGTTTGTGTATTTTTTTAAATAAATCTACAAAATAATACTGCAAAATAGTGTTTAGGTCATTTGTCCCTACGCATCTTGAAATATCCCTACAAAAGGTTTAAAGAAAACATTTGAATCACGTTTTGAGAAAATCTTGTTTTTAAAATTTTAATATTGCTCATATTTTGTTCCGCGAATAATTGGGTGTTTATTTGTTTTGTCTATTACACCGTGGCATCCGCCAGACCATGTCATTGCAAAGTTTGTGAGAAAAAGTTACTGAACGCTTGTTGCACCCTTCTTAAATTTAGCGCCTTCTGAGCCTCGACTCACAGAGCCAACATTATAATTTCGGATCTGTCTTCCCTAGATTTTATGGATCCAGAGAACTTGCCACACATTTAATACTTGGTATTATCGCACATAATTCGGTCACTGACTATCACGAATGTGGTGCGATGTTACTCTACTCCACTATTATCAGCGTCATCTTATAAGAAACAGTATTCAGAAAAATGTATTGGAAAAATTACTATCAAGCTTTTTGCCATCGTAAAATAGGCGATGAGGTAACCACTAAGCTTTATATACACTTAAGCATCGTAATTATTAATTAATATAATTAATTAGTTTTTATTTGGACATGTGTTCTGGTGTTTCAAATTATATTGTGACTACTAGCACAGTATTAAATATCTGAACCAATTTATTTACTTAAATTGGCGTATTTTTTAAAGAAAACAAAAATTCAATGTGAAATATTATTATTATAAAACAAAGAAGCTGAACTAGCAACTGCTAATAGCATTAGCAATTATCTATATTTTTTTTTGCAAATTGAGGAAAAGTAATTCCACTGAAAATACAACCCTTTATAAACATATATTTATCTTCAGACTTACATTCGTGTGTTGATGCTCCCTTACACTAGCGTTGGAGGCACTTGCTTGAGCCGAATGCAGCTGCTTTTGCTTCTGAGAAAGCACTCCTCCGACGTCAAGGAATCTTCCAAAATTGACACGCATAATTGTTCCGGTTTCGTTTGCACTATCCTGTATCCATTTTTAATTCCCACTACATTTCCGTCTGTCAGAAACCGAGAAGATACATAATTTGATGAGAACTGATTAGTCAATTCTGAGACATTCCATGGATTGCGTTCATACCAAATAAGATTACAGACTAAAAACTAACACGTCCAAGCAGCGTCCAAAACACGTCCAAGCAGCGTCGATTCTCCGCAACGTTTAATTCGTCAGTAGGATGCGCGTGCTTTGTCGAGTCGATCGTCAGAATATCGAACGACTGATGCCCTCAAACAGCTGAAGTGCAGAAAATTCTGACGATTTGATTCAAATGAATGCAGTTCGTTTTTCTAAGGCCGTAATTTTCTAGCTTTCTTATTTACTGAGATAACATAGCATTTATGGGTATTTACATACATTACGTCAGGGGTGTCCGCCTTGCAAGGGCTCAAGAGCCACAACCAAAACGTTTAATACGGTTGCGGCCATACTTTGCCTGTCTTCTCTGAAACTGAGGGAGGGGGGGACCAGACGTTATATCAAGCCGTACCATACATAATGAATGAAACTCAGTGGGATGAGTTTGAATTTCTGAATTGACTAAAAACAAAATTCTTAAATCTAAACTTCAACCTATTGTTATACTAAACGGGGTGTTGACCCCAGCAGGGCGCGTGCGCTAGGTGTACAAAGTTCACGCCCGACGTGAATGTTAAGGATTTTCACTTTTGACTAATAACTTTTCAAGGGGCACAATAAATGGCATAGCGGGCCGCCAGTTAGACAATTTTGCATTAAGTAATGTTAAAGGGGGGAGGTGTTTGAGGCAGAGTTAAGGCAGTGTTACATAGGAGTAGGAAGTGTGTTTCATAACGCTGAATTTATCTTTTTAATTTTCAATATTTACAGTAATAATTTATTTTATTATTTGTACCAAGACAACGAAAAATTAAAGTACTTTTAAAATGTATAAATAAAATAAAAATTATAAATAAATTGTCATAGTGAATGGATTTGTTTTCGCCAATGGTATGTGAATCGAATCTATTAGATTACGATGAAAATATTGAAAGCGGATCTAAAGTATATTCTAGAATCCAATAAAATTAGTACTGGTGGCTTTCGCCCTTGTTTTAACCAGACTTCAGAATCTTTTTCACCTATGCATCCTTCCTTTCTTCCAAAAATGCTCCTCTCTCAATTAGCAGTCTCTATTGGGTGCATCTAGCTCGCCTATTAATTCTGACAGTCGGTAACGTTTAGGATTTATTTGGTGGGCGTAACTGATTGGTTTTAAATTGCCGACTTGGATGGCCGAGGTGGCTAGAACGTGTGCCGTATTAACACCTCGGTCCGACGGGTCACGGGTTAGAGTTCCGTCATGGGCATGGTTGTTTGTCTCTTGTCTTTCATGTATGTGTGATGTCGCGGAAGACCTTGTGAGTCTACGTGACCTTGTGAGCCCGCATAAATGTCTTAGTATAAAGATTAATATATGTTCCAGAGTGGGACATGGTGGCTACCCGGATAGCTGGCGGATAGCCGAAAACGGCATCTCCTAAAGCTGGAATAAGCCTCAGGGGAAAAAAAGATTGACTTTAAATTCATTTTGAATGGCGCGTGATTGCACGCAAATAGCATTGTATTTAAACAAGTTTATTCGCATCCACTCGGGCTCTTAGTGGAGGCTGGCCGAACTAGTGGCCGCCGTATTTTTAGAAGTCAAAACATACGAGTGGCGGTGTAACCAGCGCCAAACATAGTGCTATACCGAGATTTTCGCAACTCCGCCCCTGGCAAATATCAGCTGTTGGCAGTGTCATCCAATCGGAAGCTTAAACGTCACCATAGTGACGTCGCTATTGTGACGTTTAAGCTTCCGATTGGATGAAAACGTGAACAGCTGAGACCTGCCAGGGGCAGAGTTGCATAAATCGCAGAATATACGTATTACCTTTTTTTCAGAGGGCGCTGCTTTGACTGCAAAAAACATGGTTTCAATTTGCTTCAAAGATGGAGGCGTTTCAGCCACTCCATGTAGTATATTCTAGATCGTTGCGTCCTCTGCTATGCGTTGTTTTCTACCGCATCATAAGCGCCATCCATCGTCACGTTTTACCGACAAAGTATTTGATTGGGTGGTGAAAGCTTATGATTTGAGTGGGTGATAACTAGGAAACGCAATTTATTGTAAAAAACAACAAAAAAGCAAAATATGTAAATAAATATGCATTTATTTTTTTCATAAATCAGTGATAAACTACTGGTGCTAAAACAGCACGTGCCTACTTTCTCACCATTAATAAAGGTTATGTAATACTATTTATACCGCAATTTTTCCGAATTAACAACTCTATGTAATCATTTTATGTAAAACTCTTTTGAAATCGTAGAACATTTGGTACGAAAATTAAAGTTTCAAGCAATAGATTTTTTATTTACAAAATTTGAATTAAAAAACATATTTCTGGGGTTGAATTCATTTTATAAAGTATGCAGTTTTTCCACGAACATATAGAAGTATTAAACACTATGGTATTATAATATTCTACAAATATATAAAAGTATTAGTTTATATGAATGGGTAAAAACCAGAAGAGTATAAGAGACATTTTAAAAATTTTGAGAAAAACATGTTTATTTTACGCTATATTTCTGTGGCAATGTATTTTCGTGGTTTTAATAAACAATTGAAATGCCGTAGTTTTAATGATAAAAAACACCACAATTTTACAGTGATATTAACTTAAATGAAAATATTTCCCAGTATTTATAAAATGTTATTTACACCGTTCTGGTGTTCACCCATTCATATTACCGCGAACGAAACGCAGCCGTCATTATCGCCTTCTATTATCAGTGTGGCGTTACAAGAATGGGTTACAATAACCAACAATGATTGCTCGTCTGTTAGTTTTCACATTTAACACAATTAAAGGACTCAATTTAAAATGAAATAACATTAATATAATATAAATATAATAATTAATAATAATGATGATCAAATGATATATGGAATAATATACAAATTCTAACTTACGTAGCATCCAACTGTGTAAATTGGTAATGGGCGACTGATGGCTCGCAATCTTTATTTCATATTTATTTCAAATAGATTTTAAATAATTTCTTAAAGACTAATTTGTAAACGTATACCAAAAGCTCAAATGTAAGAAACGAACAAAACAATATGAAATAAAATACCCATTCTGACATACGTAGCATACGTACTCAGCTTTAAAATTACGATTACGAAGCGCAGGATTTTCAGAGAGAGCTACTAACTATAACAACCAATTACTCCAATTTTCGAATAATTCAACATGACCTTACTTAAAGATATGATTTTCATTAACACATATCGTTTAAAAAATGTATCTTCATAATTGTAGTTGTAGGAAGATGCCAGAAATTTTTTGAATATTTTCAATTTTCGAAAAATCTGGTTTGTTAACCAACATGAGACTTACACCATTCTTATAAACGTCCTTCAGACAATATACCAACAAAATTTCACGCAAAATTACACGGAAAATTCTCAAATTATCGAATGATTGTCCATGACCTTATTTCAAAATTTATCTTTAAGGAACAATTTTATTAAGGAAAATAGCTCTATCTTTACTATTTTAGTTGTAGGAAGACGCCGGAAAAAAGGAAAATTAGCTTTTTAATCAACATGAGACCTACGTCATTTTCTTAAACGCCATTAACACAATCCACCAACAAAATTTAATCCAAATCGATGGCGACTCCTTTTTGAAAATTTTAAAAATTTCGAAAACTTTAAATATTTTGAAAATTTTGAAAATGTCCGAGTGGCATTATGTAAAGTACACTTCAAAATGAAAATATCTGTTTCAAATTCAAGACACTACGACATCAGCCAGATCGATTGGAAAATATCAATTTTGGAGAAAATCGGCTGAATGGTTTTGCCACTGGCGTTGTTTACACACAGACGTTTTGCCGTCAATAGATTTTTCGGTATCAAGGACCCATAAACCATGGATTCTGGCTACACTACGTGTTAGAGAATTTTGTTTCTAAATTAAGCAACTGAATTTATCCTCCTTTTCGATACCAGGGTCCTGTAATAAGAGTTTTTCTGACGAAAAACGCAGTTTTTTCGCGTAGCATTACATTTCAAACAATGTACGAAATTTGTACGAAACATTTAAAACAAGCAATTGCATGTGCCTTTGGAAAGGAGCAATATGAAATTGTCTGATGTGAAGGAAATAACATTTATTGGTTCCTGTATGCAGTCAAACCTCAAATGGAATATCACATAAATGAATATCACATCCAGAATTGTTTCAAATTCACTCAGCCTTCATGCAGCTCGTTGTGTGTATTTTTCAAAGGCAAATTGTCACTTGAGATATGCCTTTCTATTCTGAGAAAGCACATCCTATAGTACTCAGACTAAAGGATTACTGAAAACAAGTGTTCGAATAATAAGCAAATGCCATCCACATGATTCCCGCACGCATCTCTTTATTGAGCATGGAATCTTACCGTTGCCATGCCTATTTTTTAATTTTTTTATTTCTTTTCTTTCTTTTCAAATCTGTATTATAGTTTTTGTCAGAACTGACTTAGGGAGGGAACACATTTTCATGCAATACTTACATTTATAATTACAACACACGTGACGTCCCTCCCAAGCCTCGTGTTCTCTAGATGCCTCTGGGTATGATCATGAAAAATCCAATTTCTATGATATTATGATGTGTGATGTGTTAAGTATTTTGTCTGTTTTGTTAATATGGAATCTGGAATGGAATGGATATTATGGAATGGAATACATATTTTGGAAATTGCTAATTATTCTATGTATTTTGCTTGAAGGTTTGTATTGTTACTCATACTTATTTACTAGTATAATGAATTTAATTTTGTAATGTGTGTTTCTTTATACACGATGTATTGTAACTAATAAAAAAGTTTCCTGTATCTGAATAATTCATTATATTTAACAGGAAAATCACATTTGT